AAAAGAAGACCAAAGTCTTTGAAAAGGAGAGATAATGCAGTATATTTTTACAACCACTGAAATATATTTGAGAATAAATTTTATTTTTCAACTGTTAGTTACAATGCATGCTTTCATTTAATGAGAAATATTCAACATAAATAGAGAGAGTTAGATAGAGTTTTTAAATTATTTATGTAATGAAATTAGATGAGTATATTTTTTACTTGTCATGATATTTTACGTCCTATTAAATTGAAACAGGACCTTAACTGGAGAAGAAAAATATTTTTCAGGTCAAAGCAAAGAACCATTAGACTAGAAGACACTAGGAAAAATACACTCCTTATAATGATGCTCATTAAAAAGAGGTATCAAATGTTGTTGATAATTACTTCTGCTATTAGAAATTTATTATTATATTATAGATGTTTCTTTCCATTTTAGTTGAACTAATTGACCTGAAAGGACATTTAGGAATGCAATAAGTCAACGAAACAGCAGTAAGTGACAGCTAAATATTATTTCTCGTGGTTGCAGATGCGAAGTAGCATAGAACGTGTGGTTTCACAAACGACCAAACCACAAAAGTGGGAGAGAACATGATGAGAATTTAGCAAAACCCGCCAGTTCCAGATATACACATGTCTCACCCACGGTTCTCTATTATTTTTGCTCAGATAAAAAATAACGAGGTGGTGAAATTTTAGGTTTTATAAGAGCCAGTTTCAAATCATCTGGAATATTTTATGCATATTTAAAAGTAAAAAATATATATGCCTAATAATATGTCATACCACAAATAAAAACAAATAGAAAAAAAACAATGGTGTCATAGTCAAAATATGTTTTTAAAAATAGTGAATGGTAATCTAGAAGAATTGTTAATTATTTCATCATGTAATATATTTTAGAAGAACCAAAACAAAATTCAATTATTTCATTGATTCTCATTGTCAAGGAATTATCAAATTAAAACAAGAAAAAAATTAGTTGTTATAACAATTAAACAGTGCTTTGAAAAAAATGTTAATTAAATTTATGCTGCTGTTCAAATAAAACTTCTAAATGGGAAAATATTGAAAAATGTCAGTAAATTAAGTGATATCATCTGGTTTTAGTCAGACTTTTTTTTGATTAAAACATTTTAGGTTTGTATGCTTTCATTAATTCTACAAAGAGTAAAATTATAAATGAAAAGCTAAAATACGATGATTAAAAAGTTTATTAAAAATTTTTAAATAAATAACAATTACTTCATTGTCAAAAATATATTATAATATTAACTTGAAATATTTTTGAAAAATAAATTATAAATAATCAAATAATAAAATCTTTTAAATGCTAAAATTTACATCAATTAATCCCAAGATTTGTTACTGCACACAATTGCAGGGTTTATAGAAACAAAAAAAAAAGATATGATGAACAATAATAAAGTGCACGAGCAACGAAAGAAAGGTTTCAGCATCCAAAGACATTATTTCTGGTGCAAGCTATTCACTTTCCAACACTCAACGCCTCGTTTTGTTGCACAACCATAACATCAGCACCATCATGCGGAAGCCGTTAATATTCATATATTCTAACGAAGACTTCTACTGCAGTTGGGCCAACAACGACTGTGATTATTGTTCCGAGACAACGCGCTTGTCTTTCCACTTACATTTTTTTATGACCTAAAGCTATTGTCCCTTTCCTTCAGGTCTCACTTCTACTTCCTAGTTTGTTTCTTTTATTACCCTTATTGGAATGAATTCATTTTGACAAACTTCACAGAAGGTTTCGGTGCTTTCAATTGCACCTGTAAGTGCTATTTTTATTTATTCAATCACTAACTGGTGATACTTCTAAATAAGTAACACTATTTCAATTGTAGCTCAAACTATTGATTGTCAAATTAGAAAGAAACTTGAATAATACTACTGGTGCATAAGAAATTATATTTACCAATTTCTAGGGTCTAAATGTAATAATTCAAAAAAAAAACAATAATATTTATTTAAATAATTAATCAACTTTTAAATATGGCTATCATGGATTATTCACACCTGCACTGCTGTTAGAATACCATTTTTTTCTGTTACAGCAAAAAAATAATAAAAAGTTCTCAAGAAAAATACTGAAGCTTGGTTATACATAATTCTATATGATCAAGCATGGTTTTATGTGTAAAAAGTCATGCACATATGTGCTGTGTAGCTAAATATATACTTATATTTGATCATATACATTATAGAGAATTTTATGTCACACCATGTCTCATTCTACATCATATCCTACTTGTGTTGGTGACACTTTCTATGTGAGCACACCTGATTATGTATATTATCTAGAGTTTTATATGACATTATGTCTGATGATACATATTTTTGAAACTACATACACAGCTATGTATATTCATATTCAATGATTAACATACATAATCAAGTGTTATCATGAATAATCTGTTTTTCCTGAATTACTATCTTCTATACTTCACTCCCTTCTTTTGAGAAACTTTAATAGACTTCTAGCTCATCTTAGTTAACTTCGTCTGCATCAAAGTGAGTAGTTGTATGTTTATTAGTTGCTGTTTTTTATCGAGCCAACCTTCAGCAGACTTTTGATCGGATTTTAATAACTTTAAGCTTCAACTGGGTTATCATCATTGTTAATAATCATTGGAATAATGCCAAAAGTATTCGCTTGTCTTGCAAGAATGAACTATTAAGGAATAAATCAGACCTATATCAATCATTAATTATAAATGTAGTAGTGATTGTTAGAAATAGAAGAAAATTAAATGATTAATTTTGATTATTGGATTTTAAATTGATTTTACAGGTGAATTTAAATAATAAATTGGACAAGTTCTTCTGAACTCTGCTAAATTGAACATTATTGATAACTAGAAGTTAAGAATAAATGAGCTTCTCTGATTCCAGAGTCCCTCATTTGCATATAGTATTAATAGCAAATGAATAACTAAAGATATCATTTTTAATTATTCTAAATGGTTAAAAAATAATGCCACTGAGAAACAGCAATGTCTAAAATACAGAGGTTGCAGCACTTTCTCAAGAAAACTAAAGGCATGTGACGCCACCAAAAGCTGCTGGTGTAACCATTTTCTCCAGCATGCAGTACACACTTATTTAAATTTTTTCTAAATTTAATTTTTTATTTATATGTATTTACATATTTATGAATAAATTTTTTATAGGCAGGGTTCCAGTCTAATCAACTTTGTTATGAGCAATTTCAGTTAATTGTCCCATATCTACCACAATTATTGAGAAAATCACCAAAAAGTAGATTTAAAAATGGCTTTTTTACTATTGACAATTATTTTTAACAACCCCAAGAGTATTACGTAATAATTCCAATGGAAAATACAAATTTTAGTTATCTTGATTGGAATGAATTGGTTATATACTCTTTTATGATCCCCCAACACGTTTGATTTCAATTTTTAATCATTCGATATAACTACTAATGATGATCCTATGCTCATGATTCTTCAGTCTATTTATCAATATTTTCTATATTAAATTCTCTATCAGCCATGAGGTGTATTCGAACAAATTTTCATTCAATATAATGAACTTGATCATGTCTAAAACTTCGTTCGAATATAACTCGATTTCGTTTGATGATATGTTGATGAAATATACCTTTTTTTCATTTGTTTTGTTAAAGCTAATCGACAACGTAAGAGAAAAGGTTATAAAGAATTGGAATTCAATCACTAATTATTACATAAAATGACTCTGGAAATAATCTGTTGATTAAAATTACAGAAGAATGGAAGGATTAGAGAGAAAAGAAGAAGAAGATGAAGTTCAAATGGATGTTGATTTGAAGTTAGAATATTTAAATGCTGATTCTGATGATGAAAAGGAAGATAATACAGGTAAAATGATTCTGTAACATAAATTCAATTAACAACTAATGAGAAATGTTCTTTTCTAGAAATCAATAATGATCAAATCACAAAAGAAATACCTGTTCAATTTACTCTTGATCCTATGGAACTCAAAAAGCTAGTAAGAATCAAGTTTATACCTAATCATTAAAAATTATTTCAATGCATACAATTCAATTTTTATATCATAGCTTTCTGAAAAATTTAAAGAGAAAATTAAGACTTCATTTGAATATTATTTTTATTTTTTTTACAATTTCTCATTTTAGATGGAAATTGTAAAGGGAATAACTACATTATCCGGACTGGAAAATAGAAATTGGAATGATAAAATACTGAGGAATATTGAAGAATTTTTTATCAAACCAAATAAAAATATTCTAACAATCTACTTTGATAAAGATGAACTAACGAGCGAACTACATTTTCCATCAAAACCCGTTTACGAACTTACATATTTCATACGTAAACCAGGCCAATTGGTTGATACAAAAAATTTACATAGTAAAATGTTGTTTGGTACAAGCAACGATAATGTTGAAGCTACTATACTCAATATTATAGATAGAATATATTCGCAAATTTTCATTAGTATTTCCACGTGGCCTGACAGTATCCTTTGGCAACTAATTTTATCATATGTATAGATAACCATTATTTTAATCATTCCTTTGTTGTAATTATCATGATGGAAATTAATTAGAAGGTTATTTCCCGTATCAATGCTACTATACAACTGTAACAGTTAATTCTCCAACTATTACTTCATCTAATGTATCAATAACGTAAATATTAATCAGAGAATATACGTTTTGATGTTTAATTAGATCCAACTTCCATTCCCTCATACAGAACTGAATTAATTACTTGGACAGTAATTAGAATTTTTGCTCCAATAATTCCAACTGCAATTACTAGGAAAAAAGGTCTAAATAAGTTGATTGAATCTATTCAAATATGAGAAAAAAATCAAGACCAATTCTACAATCATTTTTATTATGCTAAATCATAGAAAATAAAAATATTCCTTAACTCCGAGACAATAAGCGTGAAAGCTGAATTTTGTACAAATTTGCATGATTTCCTCATCAACCTCACTGATTTGAGATGTAAAATGTTGGGATTAACTGTAATATATTTACCGATAGAGGTAAATGATTTAACACTGGTGGATGCTTGCGTTGATAAAGAGCTAATCAAGAGATTGAATAGAATTGTATTTTATTGGACAAAACAAGTAAAGCATACGCTGACTGATTTAGAGCAACCAAATACTCAAACTAGTCCGCTTTGTGTTGATGACGAATATCAATTCTGGATATCTAGATGTAAGTTTTCCAAATTAGGTTACATGTGACGTTAAATTATCATCATTTAATTATTCATGTATAAAGCTAATTCGTATGAATATACCTACTTTAATATCCTGTGTCAAATGCTTGAAATTAAATACGTAAGGTATTCATAATATTCAAATCAGAGCTGTTTTATAGGAAACTAACAAAATAACTCTAGATAATTTATTTGTAAAAAAACTTAATAGTCAAAGGGATTTTTTTTATAAATGTTGAAAAAAAATATTTTTAATTGAAAGTCTTTGTTGGCATTTGAACAGTTAGAATTTATCTTTCTATTGAATGGAATGTCAAAGTTAGTAACTCATAGAATGCAAATATGACTGTTGGAATTTTTTCAACAATCTGTGTTTAACAATGACACCAGTTTGTGATATTTTGTTTCACATATAAACATAGAGAATTGTATAGATTATGAACTTTTTGCTTCAACAAAGCATGAATAATTTTTTTTCAAGGGAATAATTTGTGTGGTTTGAGTTATCAACTAAAAAATTCAATAGTTGAAAAAACAATAAATATTCTGATAAAAACGCAATCAATACAAGCTCAACAATTTATGGAACTGAAGAATAAAATAGAACATGGCAAAGCAGAAGCGAAGTCGAATATTGAATTTTTGGAGATTTTAAGACACCCTTGTTCTGAGTTATTTGATTCCAACAGTTTTAAATCTATGGTGCAGCATCTGCCAAGAATTCTATATCTTTTTCGTTTTATTTGGCTGAATTCGCCTTTTTATAGTATTGCTGAACGGACATACCACTTAATTAAACTGCTTAATAATCAAATTATTATCACATGCTCCAAGTTTATTAATCTTGATGATATTTTTGAAAAAAAAATTACTAGAAAGAGCATCAGTACTTTGAGAGAGTGTATCCAAGTTTGTGAAGTTTACAAAGAGCTTTATCTTAAGGTAAAAAGTACTTTAATATTTCATTTCTAAACAAATTTAATGTTAAATAATAAATCCAACAATTTATTGTATTGTTGAACAAAATTTGAAACAGTTTCTTTAGTTGGTCATATTATTTCCATAAATTTTTGATTGATGAAAAATAATAACAGATAATTGGATTTCGTATGTATATATAAAAATTACCTATGCGTAAAAAAAAATTATTGTGAGAATAGAAAAAAATACGATTGGAAAATTGCATACATATAGGTCTTGAGTATATTTGCAAAAAAAAAAATGAGTTTCACAGTTGAATTTTTTCATTAATATGCATCCGTGCTACAGCAATAGATGAAAAAAAAATTATTTGTTGAATAGATATGAATTTCATGAAAAATATTTTTCGTAAAATAAATGTTTAATTATTATTAAAATTTTTTTACCAGAAAGTCACATTTTGTTGAAACAAAAATTAATATTTGCAATACGAGCATAAAAATTTATGATTCATAATTCTTTTCATTCATAAAAATTTTATTTACATTTTAAATAAATCCATCCTACTTGATATTTGATATTTAATATTCTTAACATAAAAAAAAATATATATTTTATGTTGTACCAATTTTTATTTTAGTTTGCAAACGCTCAAAATACCTTGACATCTCATCCCTGGGATTTGAATGTTGAAGAAGTATTTACATTTCTTGATACTTTCATCAGTCGATGTGGGAACTTGATTGAAATATGTCAAGCAATGATTGATTTTGCTCGGTATGTGAAGAGTAGTTTTTCTTAAATAAAATATAATATAGTATAAATAAAAAAAATAATTCAATTTCCTTTCATTTTACAACAGGTTAGATGAAACTATTGAAATTCTGTCACCAGTTTTTAGTGGTACTGAAGGTGTAACTCATGGAAAAGTTTGCACGAGAATTGAAAAACTTTTCCTAGAACATCTACAACAGCTTAAACAAAAAGCAGACAAGATTTTAAATGTTCAAGATTCAACATGGAATCATGACATGTTTAAGTTCCGTAACGAGATGAAGGAATTAGATATGATGATTGAGAATCTTGTAAACAAAATATTTCGAAAGCTGAACAACATCCGTGAAGGAATTAGCAACCTCTATGCATTCCATACTTATAGAAATAGAGAAAACTTGAAGACATTATTTGATTCGGTGACGACTGAGGTATTGAATTAAAAAGCTTGATAAATTTTATAAATAAATGTAATAAGTAAGATCTTATTGTATATATTGTAAAGCTATGCCATACAGAGTATCTCCATATTTGAAACTTACAATCTACTTTACATGCAAGAAAAATTATGTTCTAGACCATTTAATGAATATTTATGAAATTCCAAAGGTCTGGAGACTATTTACGAATTATATGCAAGCAATGAAGCAAGAAATGTTAGAAGAAAAAAAAATATATCCGTTTAACACCCCATACTTCGCCGGAAGAGCCATAAATTTGCATTTGAAAAGGAAGAGGCTTGATGTGATTCGCTGTCTCTTCACCGCAGCAAAATGGATGGACCATTGTAGCATTAGCGAAGAAGTCTATCATCAGCACGAAATGCTGGTTGGTTCTATAAGAGAAACGATCGCTGGTCTTTATCGTCAGTGGTTGGACGACATAGGTGATAATCCGAAGAGTCGACTCGATCGATACCTGATGCGACGAAGTGATGATAAGCCCGGATTGCTCGAGTCCAACCTCGACCCTGATGTGTTGAATTTATGCAGTGAAGCCAACTATTGGCAGTACTTTGGCTTTCAAATGCCTCTCGGCGTGGAAATGATTTATGACAATATAGATATGCTGCAGTTTGTGTCTGAAAGTATTCTTACTCTCGTTTTAGCATACAATAGAATAATAGAAGGTAACGATAAATATTCAATAATGACTTTTTAAGCTGTATTGTTTTATTGATACATAACATTTTTTTCTACAGCTTTTTCTCCACAAGAGAAATCATTTTTTCGGTATCTCATAAAAAATTTGGATTCTAAGATTCAACCTGGATTGTCCAAACTCACTTGGAACTCTGAATATATTGAAGCATATGTTGGAAAGTGCTGTGAATATGTTGCTGACGTAAAACAAATTTTTTTTCATCTCATAATATAAATATATAAAAGCATCACATATTTTAGTTTGATAACTGGGAAAGTTTTCTTGAGAAATAAATCAAAATCATTTTTTTTTTAGCTACAAAATTTTATAGACACCTACAAACAATCCAACTTGGAAATAATGAAAATTTGTGAGCAAATTTGCAACACTTCAATAATAGAAATAAAGCACAATTATGGGTACGAGTTGTTGGAGCTTCAAAATGAAATGGAAACTGTGAAGTAATGAAAAAACTAGTAGTTAGTTTCTCTGAATGGAATTATAATACAATGTCTTAATTTAGAAAATCTGCTGTTCGTAATTTAGAAGATAAATACATCAACATTATTCAATATCTTCTAGTAATATATGAAGGTTTTGAAGCAGGAATATCAGAGGTATATTCTAGTGACAACAATTGACTCATGAATTAGGAGCAAGCTCCTTAATTCACCAACTGTGCAAAGTCCATCTACAAATTTCCGAGAATTTCCTGGTATTTGTAAGCTCTCTGAAATCCAGAAACACGACCTTCCCTGTTGGCTAGTCTCTGGATAATTCTGTACTCACGTGTCTGGATAATCCCAAAAGACTTAGTACCTTAATACAATTTAGCTTCAGTTGACAATGCCCTTACTATTCTTCGTTGGTTTTAATTAATTTACCATTGAAAATACAATTAATTACTAATTCTTTTTTCTAGAGCACCATGGAGTGGAAGAATTACCTGATTAATTTAGACACGATGCTAGAAGAAGCTTTTAAGCTCTGCTTAAAAAACTCACTGAACACGATGTATTACGCTTTACATGGCGATGGAATAAACGATCCCTCAGCTTTACTTGTAGTCCAAGTTAATCTTATCGACAACAGGGTATGGAAATATATAGATAGAGTAAATTGTGCTTCGAGTATGGAATACTTTTTTACAAGGCTTTTCGATCACTTTTTAAATCGTTTTAGGGAAAAATAAATGTATCAATCGAAAAAAAACATTCAATCTTTCGATAAAAATGAAGTTTCAGCGTTAGTAATATAGAGCTAGGTAGGTGGAATTTTTTTTTAGCATAGGAAATCTATTCGTTTGACATTTTTTATCAAAAGAACTATGCAATAAATAACTTTCAAACTTTTTGCAAATGTTTTTATTATGTATTCAATTGAATACAATTTTTTTTTCATGATGTCATTGGAAATTCCCTTCATATGTGTTTCTAAACTCGATATTGAGCTAACAAATAATTAATATCAAAAATGAAAAATGATCAAGTCAATCAACATGCATTCCTATTTACATCATGGTGTCCAATACTTTTAAAAATGTAGCATTCAAAAAATACCAATTCTTTAATTATAAACGTGAATAGATTTCGAAGGGAATGGAATTTAAAAATATTAAGCTCAAACATGTCACGTCAGATCCTTTTAAATCTGATTAAACTTATTTTGATTGATACATTTTTCAGAATGATACAAATTTAATCAGGATCAATCAAACAAACTCTCATGTTTTCACTGATAGAAAAAAATAAAATATTTCTAGTTAATCGTAAACAAAACTCTACATAGATATAAGCTACTCATTTTGTCACTTTGATGTTTTAATTCCAAAAGAATATCATTCGTTTTAATTAATATATTGAAATTTTAGATAATTCTCATACCACCATTTAATGAAGTTTCAAAAACAATTAGTAGTATTTTACAAAATCTACTGGAGCCATTTAAGTCGATACGAAGATTACCTGAAAAGTTTGGCCTTGGAAGTTATGGAGTCACTAGCTTCTGGAGGACATTCAAAGAAGATGAGACTTTCATTGAACTTCAGAAAAAGCTTGATGAAGAAACTTCTTACTGTTTTAATCAAGTTCAGATTTATTTCAAGACTTGGGAGCTATTTAATGATATATGGAATGTCGATAAAGACATATTTATTAAAAGGTATTATTACGTTAATACATAAAAACATTATAAATAACTTTGATTAATGGATATAACACATTCTCATAAGTGAAAAAATTTCAACAAAGTAATTGAATTAACCCCATTTTATATTTCTAGTTTATTTTCATTTCTTTCATGAATTCTTTTTATTATTTAGTCAATAGAATCTATTAACAAGACTTGATAATAAGCTATAATTAATTACACACCATTATTTTTATTTTATTTGAAATTTATTGTAAAATAAATAAAACCGTTGAACCAATTTTAATTTAATCTACTCCCATTTCTAAATGGATTTAACCTTTCAATGTTTTTTAGTGAATACCAACCACTTAAATTGACCTATAAATCTTTTTGCTGATCATTTTCAATATTTAGGTTGTTATTATGATGTCAATGAACTTATACCTATTTTATTTTCCAAGATACGAAACTTTAAGACCAAATGCCGTTTCTTTTGATGCTGAAATTAAAAAATATGAAGAAGTAGCAAATGACGTTCAAAATCAAGAGTCTGTCATGACTGTTCATTTTCTGGATCTCAACTCGGACCAATTGAAGACAGCAATAATAGAACATTGCTCCCAGTGGCAGCAGAAACTAACGACTCTTCTTTTTCGTATGACTCAAGAGATGGTTGAAGAATTGTACAAATATATTGAAGACAATCAGAAACGGTAAATATGAATTTTGTTACTTTTTTTTTTTTAATACCTTTGTTCTACTTTATACGATTTTTTCACAAACATTCCATTCCATTTAGAATTACTGAAGTACCAAAGGATTTAATTTCGATGCAAACTATGTTACAATTGTTTGAAAGACTTCAAGTTGAGGTTTTGGAGAAGGAAGAGGAATTTCCGAGAATACGTGAACAGTACCAAACATTAGGTAAGTTGTAATTTGACTGTTCAATGAGGTGAATCAATGGTATTATTGAAGACTTAGTCTGAACATTGGTGCTGTAATCCCTGCAGGGCTATCTATGTTTTGCTTTACATTTATGATGCTTGCTTTAATCTTGAATGGTCACATCTATTCAATTTGATCTTACTGTGAAATCATTGTCTGTCAATAATGCTAATTAATTAGCTATTACATTCATTATAATAGGCTATTTGCATGGAAATTAATGTTGGTTTAATTAATAGAAAAATATGAAGTACCATTGACATTAATATTCAAAAGAAAGGTGAAAGAATTAGAAAAAATATGGGCGAAATATCTACAAGCACTTTCAAATTCTAATATCATGATTTCTGAATCGAAGGTAAATTATTTCTCTTCTTGGTTTTGCTTTTATTCTTTCTAGATAAGTTGAAGTAAATATGGAGATTTCTACTGTATTTCAACTTTTATTATCGTTTATCTCATTGAAAATAATTCGCTGCATAAAATTTATGTAGAAATTTATTACAGGAACACTTTAAAAATGAAGTCACAGAACATACGAATATTTTTCAAGGAAATACAAATGAGATGACAAACAAATTTTATGATCATGGACCATTTACATCTGAATGGAAATCTATTGGTATGTTAAACGATCAATTATTATATTTACATAATCTTGAAACTGATAATGATAGAAGAATTACTGAAGTATTACATTATTTTTGAAGATGCTTTGAATTGGTTAAAAAATTATCGAAGTGAAGTGGAACAATTAGAACAAACTGAACAGCAATTAAAACAAAATCATCAAATCCTTGAATTGAGTTTTATAGAATCAACAGAGCTCATGGCAATGAAGAAGGTCATTTATCAATATAAATTATATAATCGATTAGCCTAGATATTTTCAAATAAATCGTTTTATTTTGTATAGGATTTATTTGCTATTGAGCTGATATGGCAATTGACAAAAGAATGGGATGAAGCTTGGGAACGTTACAAGACAGGAAATTTCTGGATAATAGAAATCGATGAAATGGAAATAACAGCAAATAAACTGTTGAAAAAATTGAAAAGACTATCAAAAGAATTACGAGCAAAAAACTGGCAAATTATTGATTATACAACTAGTCGTGTGGATCAATTTCGACGCACTCTTCCTCTGATAATTGATCTGAAGAATCCAGCAATGCGTGACAGACATTGGGATAAAATTAAAATTATAGTTGATCAGAATTTTGATGAAAAAGCTGAAGAATTTACTCTTGATGCTATTGTTGATATGAGAATTCATCATTTCGCTGAAGAAATTAGTGATATTTCTAATCAAGCTTCAATGGAATTGGGAATTGAATTGGTAATTAATTTAGTGTTTTTCTTTCATTTAAAAATTTTCTTCTTGTTCTGAGTTCCTTTTAATAATACCACTCAGCATATTAAAATCAGCTGAGTGGGAAAAGGACACATATCATGTTACTATCAAAATGACTGCTGACTAGTGAAATAAATCAGTGAATAGTCAGACATGCAGATGTATTAAATTGAGTGAAAAAAGAATAGAAGAATTGAATTTAATTAAATAATAATAATAATAATTAAAAAATTACATATTATTTCAGAACTTGAATAATATCATTGAAGTATGGGAACATCTCAAATTATCAATGACATTCAATAAAGAAAGAGCTATTTATAGACTTCACTCAACAGATGATATTTTTCAACTACTAGAAGATCACCAAGTTCAATTATCAGCAATGAAATCAACAAGGTATAAAGTTTTATTTGTCTGATTTTAAATAAAAGCGGAATATAATAAATCAAGTAAGAATAGTAAGTAGAACTTACATTCTAGATTCGTTGAGCCGTTTGCAGAGGAAGTCGATCAATGGGAACGAACTTTATCCACTATTGGAGAACTTCTGGAAATCATCCTTGTTGTTCAGAAAGAGTACATGTATTTAGATAATGTATTTCACACAGAAGACATTCGGAAGCAACTACCGAAAGAAACTGTAGACTTTGACAAATTGATGACTGAATGGAAGAATATTACAACTAAGATGGCGCAAGCAGAGAATATTCTTGACTCATTCGAAGATTCAGGTGAGAATGTAATTTATTAAGTGAATTTTATTTCAATTAATCCGGGTAAATATTTTGTAGGAAACTTGCTCCAACGTTTGAATGAACTCAATACCTCCATGGAATCTATTCAACGCTCTTTAGAGGAATATCTTGAAAACAAGCGTCACATATTTCCTCGATTTTATTTTATATCAAATGACGATCTTCTTGAAATTTTGGGCCATTCAAAACGTCCAGATCTAATTCAACCACACATAAATAAACTCTTTGGAAACATAAAATCTCTGAAAATAACCAAGGTAAAAGTTTTATTATTCTTCAATCGTCTGATGGAATCACAAAACTGAGGTAGATAATTTAATTAAAGTCAATACCAAGTCGATATAACGCCGAGGGAATGTTTTCGAGTGAAGGAGAACACGTAAAATTTCTTCAACCAGTGGTATTGGAAGGACTGGTAGAACATTGGTTGTGTAAAATTGGTGAGTGTAGAACTGAAATTCTATCTTGTTTCTCATCTTTCTAATTAGGAAACTCAATAGTTTATTTCAACGTATTCTGAAACGTATCAGTCGATGTTATTCCTTTTTTTTTATGTTTCTGTCTTTTTTTTATCAAAGTTTCATTTGATCCTTGATGAGTTTGTCTCTAAAGAAAACTAAATTTTGCGTTATTCATTACAGAAATGGCAATGCGGGACTGTCTTCGAGAGGTTCTACGTCAGTGTCGAGCTGCACTTCGAAAAGTCCCGAATAAGCAGGACAAGTGGGTGAAGGAATGGCCGAGTCAGTCGGGAATAACGTCCTCTCAGATTCAGTGGACTAGCGAATGTACTAGAGCATTGGTGCACTGTAAGTGAGTATAGAAACTTCATAGTCTATTGGGAGTTTATGAAGCTTAGAACAGCAGGTGAAGAAGATTCAGAAACTGAGACATGAGAAATGGAGATCTAGAAATGCTCTAGATCAATGTGATGACTTGAACTAATTTGGAATAGAAACTTTAATAAAACGATTTTGCATATTCTGTTCTGACAATGTTCAACCTATTCTTCTATTCTCTTTACTCGTCCTTTCATTACATCTTTTAACACTATCTTGTGGTAGTACGATTCTCATTTACATGAGGTAGCCACATATAGAAAATTCACTTCATTTGGAGCTCTAGAATTTCAACGAAATTCAAAGTAAGTCTTTTTCTAATGAACTGAGAAATTCATCAAATGTTTTTTTTTCAGACTTATGAATTCAAGGAAGCCTCTAAAAAAATTACATAAAAAACAGAATCGTATACTTGCTCAGTATACTGATGCTATACGAAGTGATTTAGATAAATTACAAAGAGTGAAATTTAAAGCCATTATTGTCATTCAGATCCATGCAAGAGATGTGATAGAAAAAATGTACAAGAATCGTAAGTATCTTGATTTAAAAGAATAAAAGTATTCATCAATAATTAACAAATAAATTTCTAATTAATTGCAGGTTGTAAAGATGTCACAGCCTTTGAATGGATCTCTCAACTCCGTTTCTATTGGGACAAGAATTTAGATAACTGTGTCGTGAGGCAAACGAATACCTACTTCGTATATGGCTACGAGTATCTGGGCAATTCGGAACGTTTGGTCATTACTCCACTGACGGATAGGTGACTGTCTTAGATTTAGTTGCAAACTTTTAAGTCGTGAAGTAAACTGAAAAGCTTGATGTTCAGTAAGTATCGATTTAATCCCGATAAAAGGCACGAATGGACACAACTTAATTTATTGAAGAACTGCTTCCATAAATTCAGTCTCGAGTATCTACTCCAACGATTTGTTCCTAGAAAATGCAGCTAGCTGCAATTTTGCATGTCGTTAGTATCAGCTTTAACGGATATTTACTTAGTGAATTGCCTCTCGCAGAATCTTTTCTGAATGCCGTTCATCTTTCTACAGCATAAAACGTCTTGCAATCTTTATCCAGACGTAGTTAATAGCTCAATAAAAATCTCCTGCTTTAACATCGTTACATTCTCTAACAGTACCAGTTACAAAGATCATGGAAAATTTTGTAGCTTTCCTACCGAGTTAAGCTTTGATAGTCAGATTTGTTAATTAAAAAAAAATTCATTCAATTACTTTTTTTCACTATTCAAACTTTGTTAATTATAAATCTATTTTTTTTTTTTTAGATGCTATATAACTTTAACAACTGCACTTCACTTGTGTCGAGGAGGAAGTCCAAAAGGTCCAGCAGGTACTGGAAAAACTGAGACAGTAAAAGACTTGGGGAAAGCGTTAGGATTCAATGTAATAGTCCAAAACTGTTCAGAAAGTTTGGATTACAAAAGTATGGGAAGACTCTTTTCCGGACTGGTTCAAACGGGAGCTTGGGGTTGCTTCGATGAATTCAACAGGTAGTATTTTACAACCAAATATTTCAGAACCATCATAAAAACGTACATTGTGCCGTTGTAGAATCAATATCGAAGTGTTATCAGTCATTGCCCAGCAAATCCTTTCAATTTTCTCAGCACTTTCTCAAAAGTTAACAAGATTTCTTTTTGAAGGAGTTGATATTTCACTTGTTCCAACTTGTGGTATCTTTATTACTATGAATCCTGGATATGCAGGTAGAACTGAACTTCCAGATAACCTTCAATCCATGTTCAGACCAATTGCGATGATGGTACCAGACAGTAGTATGATAGCAGAAATCAATCTTTTTGCTGAAGGATTTGAGAACACGCGAGCTCTAGCTAGAAAGGTACCATTTGCATGCACCTTTAAAAGAATAAAAGTCTTATAAGATTGTAATATTGCTTAGGTATTCACGTTATATACATTAGCACAGCAGCAACTGAGTAAACAGCACCATTATGACTTTGGTTTACGAGGAATAGTCACGCTAACACGTTATGCTGGAAAGAAAAGACGTCAGTTTAGCAATTTACCGGACGAGGAGGTAACAATAAAATGCTGATACTATCAGAATGAAGCTTCTCAATGTTAACTAAGCCAAACTTAGGGATGTATTTTTAAATGTCACTCTTATCATTCCTTAGGACAATTTCTCTTATTTAATATCTCTCTCATCATTCACTTTCTTTGTTTAACTTCTCCATTATCTAAACTATTATGATTAATTTTAAATGCTGAGCATCTTTACTCGAGGTCTATTTTCATCAACAGATAATTATTCTTTCAATGAAAGACATGAACAAAGCCAAGCTTACAGCTGATGACCTACCTTTATTTACTGGCATCACATCAGATCTTTTTCCAGATATTCAAATTCCTTCAGTAGACTATGATGAATTTTTTGAGTTTGCTACTAAAGAAGCTATCCAATTAAACTTACAAGTAAGTTTAAGATTGACTTAATTAACTGTTTATACTAACACAAACTTGAGATGATGAAATTTCAAATTATATCACTTGGACATTTTTTATTTCATTGTCACTTGAAACTAAAAATGAATTCTTTTTCTAGCCTGTCCCAATGCTATTGACAAAGGTTGTTGAATTATATGAGACCAAAAATTCAAGGCATTCAACAATGATTGTTGGCCAGTCGAATACCGGTAAATCAGCAACGTGGAAAGTTCTGAAAAATACAATGACAACAATGAAGAAAGAAGCGAAAATAGGATTCAATGCAGTCTACGAATATCCCATCAATCCGAAAGCACTGAACTTGGGGGAATTGTATGGAGAGTATAATCTCTCGACAGGAGAATGGTCAGATGGCGTAATATCCTCTATTATGCGAAAGACCTGTGCGGGTAAGTGCAGTTATTACTCATGTCCATCCAACGAAATTATATCACATTTGACAGATTAATTGGATTTTATTCCTCAATGGAATTCTATTTATTTTTGATAATTTTTGTAGATGATACTCCTGATGAAAAGTGGATTTTGTTTGATGGTCCAGTAGATGCGCTATGGATTGAAAATATGAACAGCGTGATGGATGATAACAAAATATTGACCCTGATCAATAATGAAAGAATAACATTGCCACATCAAGTATCCCTATTGTTTGAAGTTCAAGATTTAGCGGTAGCTTCTCCAGCCACAGTATCACGTGCCGGAATGATTTATCATGACTACAAAGACCTTGGATGGCATCCGCTTGTTAATTCATGGCTTGACAGACATCGAGACAAACCGGAGTTTGTTGAAGAAATGGATAGATTGTTCAAACAATATGTTGATAAAGTGTTAACATTCAAAAAAGAAAAATGCCACGAAATAATACCAGTCTCTGAATTAAATGCTGTTGAAAGCCTTTGCAAATTATTAGAAGTACTAGCAACTCCTGAAAATGGAATGAATAGTACTGATGATAGAGATAATTTTAATTTAATGTGTAAATTGTGGTTTTTGTTCTGGTGAGTTTAAAGTTATTTTCATTGCATTTTATTTCTCGCTGTTATGTACTTTTGTCAGTATGAAAGATCACTTCATTACTTTACCTCAAATAAAATGCAGTATGGTTTGGTCACTCTGCGCTTCCGTCGACGAAGAGGGACGACAGAGAATGGATAACTACATCAGGGAAATGGAGGGTATTTTTCCACTCAAGGATACAATATACGAGTATTACGTTGATGTCAGACAACGTAGTTTTATCTCATGGGAAGAAGAATTGTCATTGAGTTGGAGATACGCTGCAGAGTATGTTACATCAAGTCTCAATAAAAATTTTGATTAATTAAATTATAAATTCATACATACATATATATAATCAAACTATTAAATTAATTCAATGGCTTTTGAGAATTATTTTGTTATTGTAGAACTCCTTTTCATAAAATAATTGTACCAACTATTGACACTGTCCGGTATAATTACTTGACGAGTGCACTACTAAGGAATGAGTATCCTGTTCTGTTGATTGGACCTATTGGTACCGGAAAGACTTCAACAGCTCAATCAGTTTTCGAATCTCTAGATAGAACACAATACAGTCTTCTGGTAATTAATATGTCGGGTCAGACAACTTCGAGGAATATCCAAGAAGCTATAGGAGCTAGAGTAGAGAAACGAACAAAAGGGATTTATGTTCCACCAGCCGGAAAAAAACTTATTACTTTTATGGATGATTTTAATATGCCTTCACATGATACGTATGGGTCTCAACCTCCCCTTGAACTCATTCGCCAATGGATAGACTACAAATTTTGGTATTAAAAAATTATTTAAAAGCTGAAAATATTTAATAAAATGGAAATTTCTCCTTATAGGTACAACTGCAAAAAACAGAGTAGAAAGTATATCAAAAACATGCAGTTGATGGCTGCGATGGGTCCACCAGGAGGAGGACGTAATGAAATTTCCAATCGATTGCTAACAAAGTTTAATGTAATTAACATGACTTTGCCTACAGAAAAACAAATTGCTAGGATATATAGTACAATGTTGAATCAACATTTGTTTGATTTTCATACTGAAGTGAAGAAAATCGGTAAATTTATAGTTGGGGGTTTTTATTAGATTAAAACTAATAAGTGAATGCTTTCAGCAAACGAAGTTACTTTGGCAACAATCAATATGTATAATAATGTCGTAAAAGAAATGTTACCTACTCCTGGAAAAGTACATTATTTATTTAATTTACGGGACATATCTAAGGTAATAATTATCATTTTAATCACTTTCAAAAATTGATTGAGAAAATTTTCTTTTTCATTTAAATTCAAGACTTTATGAGTCTAATGATTTAAAAACTGATTTAGTTAAAATTTGACAATTAATTAAAAATGTAAGATATGAAATTGCATACCATCAATTCGTTTAATATTTTTTTAAAAAATATCAAAAAGTCAAACCGAAAGTAAGCAATTCATTATATTTCGGTATAAATTCAAAAATATTCTCCAAGGTATTCCAAGGTCTTCTTCGTAGTCACAGAGACTACCAATACTCTCGAGAATCCTTTCTTCGTTTGTGGATTCACGAGGTATTCCGAGTATTTAGTGATCGGCTGATCGATGAAGGGTAAGGATAAAAATTAAAAGAAAAAGTTTTTTCCATTTAAACGTAATGTAGACAATTACACTCTTAAATATAACACACTCATTACAATTTCTGATATTCACATAGCGATCGAGATTGGTTCATTTCGCAGCTGAATGAACAGCTGGGCAAATACTTTGAACTCACGTTCCATAATCTATGTCCGGAAAAACGTTGTCCTATATTTGGTAAGTATATTCTCAATTCAAGATTCCAATTTCCGATATTCGTAAAATTTTCTTCAGCTTGAGAATAATAGGTAGAAAAAAAAAACAAGTAAAAACTTGTCAACGTAGGTAAGATAAAAAGCGTCCCACAGGAATTTACGAGTTCTTTTTTTTTTTAACATCAAAAAACCACTAGAAAAATTCCATCAAAGTAACGACAAAGTTGTAGTTGATGAATTATTCATTTCTTGCACTTTTTGTCTATATTTTTGTTTTTGTTTTTAAAGGAAGCTTTATAAATGCTTGGAATATATATGAAGACCTAAAAGACATAGCAACAGTACGTCGTCATATAGAGGTACAAATAGAAGAGTATAATACATCTCCTGGAGCTGTAAGATTGGATCTGGTACTCTTTAGAGATGCTATCGATCACATTTGTCGCATAATACGTATTATTTCTCAGGTAACCTTCTACCACAATGAATATAAAATACAGACTACTGAATAATTAATTCAACTGATGTTTCCAGCCACGTGGGAATGTACTGCTTGTCGGGATGGGAGGAAACGGTAGACAATCTCTATCCAAAGTTGCCAGTTACATGGTTGAATTGAAAATCTTTCAAATTGAAGTAACCAAACACTACAGAATTCTAGAGTTTCGGGAAGACTTGAAACGACTCTATGCAATGACTGGGGTAGACAATAAACCCACAACTTTTCTCTTCAACGACACTCAAGTTATGGAAGAACAATTTCTTGAGATTATCAACAACATGCTTGGGACTGGTGAAGTTGCCAACTTGTATAAAACAGACGAAATGGAAGAGGTTTGCTTACTCCAACAATCTTTTAAGTGTTGCTACCTCTTGATAAAAGAATTTACTCTTAATGTCTCTAGATTAAAAAGAGCCTAACAAAAGAAGCTGTGAAAGCTGGAATCTCACCAACACCCGAAGCTATTTATCTCTTTTTTCTAGAACGAGTACGGTCTAATGTCCATATAGTCTTGAGCATGAATCCGATTGGTGAGAATTTTCGTAACTACCTTCGACATTATCCGGCGATCATAAATTGTACGACGATCGACTGGTTTTTGCCATGGCCTAAAGAAGCTCTTTTAGAAGTAGGCAACAAGTTCCTCATGAATCTAAACCTCATTACTACTATCACTGGAGAGGATAAAGTAGTAAGAACTACTGGACTGTAAATGTCTATTGATCAAAGTCACACTTATTCTTTTCTTTTATTTATTCTCGCTGACTGGCTAGGAGCCCACACGATCAGCTGCAATGCTTCCGGTGTATTCACTTCAAGATCGTATGGTTGATGGCATTGCTTCTACTTTTGCCTCAGTACACGAATCTGTCATCCACCACTCAAAGAGAATGGCTGCAGAAATGAAGAGATACTGTTACGTGACACCGACAAATTTCCTTGAACTAGTTGTCGGATACAAAAAGTAAAGTTTGTTTTAGCTCCCTATGTTACTTTGTTTTCTTATGTTGCGTTTCTTTGAGTAGAATGCTAGAGTTTAAGAGACAAGAACTTGCGGACCAGGCAAACAAACTTAATTCAGGTCTCCACAAGATTGACGACACCAGAAAGAAAGTAAATGAAATGGCAGAAGAGCTTGAAGTAACTCAACAACAGGTGCTTAAAGCTACCAAAGATTGTGAAGAATATTTAATAACGATTGTAAATCAACGTCGTGATACCGACGAAGCACAGAAAAGTGTTACTGCCAGGTCTATTCGTATTGAGAAAGAGTCTAAAGAATGTAAGAAGTTAGAACAACTAGCACGTGCTGATTTAGAAACTGTGGAACCAGCATTAGATGAAGCTATGAAGGTTTTTTTCCTTTTTTATCATAATAAATACAAAACAATTTATATAAAGAATTATTTTAAAAAATTTGAAACTGATTTGTTTTATATTATCGCATCTTGTGCTTTTATTCTGCATGATTTCCGTCTGTATTTTTCTAATATATAAAAAAATTGGAACGGTGTGACCGTTATTTTGTATCCCACAGGCACTAGACACTCTCAACAAGAAAGATCTTGCCGAAATAAAATCCTTCAGTCGACCACCCCCCAAGGTCGAGATAGTGATGGAAGCGGTCATGATACTAAAGAATTCAGAGCCAACTTGGGTGGAATCCAAGCGACAACTTGGCGACGTCAATTTTTTAAGTTCAGTAAGTGGATCTGAGGTTAAATAAAATGTGTTATCATTGATCTATAAATTTTTTACAGCTACGGAACTTTGATAAAGATCATATATCAGATAGAACACTAAAAGCAATTGGAAAATATACCTCAAATCCAGAATTTATTCCAGAAAAAGTTGGTCAGGTATCCATTGCAGCAAAATCTCTCTGCATGTGGGTAATAGCAATGGAGCAATATGGAAAGCTCTACAGGTAATGATGTAACATTTTCAAGATGTTTCATCAAAAAGATTGAATTTAATTTATATATAATATAAAATATATTTCTCTAATTTAACAGACTGTAAATATAATTTGCTCTCTTACATACGGTTACTTTTTACAGAATCGTAGCACCAAAGCGAAAACGACTAGAGTCTGCTTTGAAATCTCTACAAGAAAAAGAGAAAGCATTAAATGAAGCTGTTGCCTTGTTGCAACAGTTACGTCAAAAATTGGAAAACCTACAACAAATTTATGATACCAAAATAAAGGAAAAGGAGGACTTAATTAGACAAGTAAGTACTTGAAAAATCCTCTCTAATGATATCGATTTTACGCTTCTTCAAGCACGTAATAACGATGCAAGCTGTCGAGAGTATTCAGAAAGCTGTTTCACTTTATAATGGTATTTGAAATTGACTGAAAAAAAAATCTACTATTCATTTTCAGAAAATAATCCTTTAAAGATAATTAATTTTATTTATACTTTTAGGCAAGCACCTTGAGTATAAAATTGGAACGAGCGAGATTGTTGGTAGATAGTCTTTCAGGAGAACATCTTCGATGGCAAGAGACAGTACAATCTTTGAGACAACTTTTTGATTTATTACCTGGTAATTGTCTCATTTCCTCTGCTTTTGTCTCGTATTTGGGACCTTTTGTGTCCAATTATCGTGAAGAGCTCGTCGAGTTTTGGATGAAAGAGGTAAATTATTAATCTATGTTAGTTCAAGATTCACTTGCATGTATAAAGTGACTGAATAAAATAGTATAGTTCTACTTAATTTTTTATTTCAAACAATAGAAATTTAAATTAAATGTAGTAGCTTAAATTAAAAAGCAACCTTAAGAATTCAATTAGAGGAGCTATTATTGAATAATGTAATTATTAAGATAATCTTAAGAAGTTTTTTTTCTTAGATACAAGAAAAGAAAATTCCACACACCACTGAACTCGATGTAAAACAATTCTTAACTGATCCAACTACGATAAGAGAATGGAACATTCAGGGTTTACCATCTGATGAATTCAGTACAGAAAATGGGATCATTATAACCCAAGGTACACGATGGCCTCTGGTGATTGACCCTCAATGTCAAGCAGTAAAATGGATTAAGAATATGGAAGCACCAAATGTGAGTTTCACGTTTTTCATCCAAGATGATGGTTTGATAAAAATTGAATTCACAGAATTTACGAGTCATAGACTTACAAAGACGTGATTTTATAAGAATTCTGGAACAAGCGCTACAATTTGGTGAACCTCTATTACTGGAAAACGTTGGAGAACATTTGGACCCTATATTGAATCCTATTCTCAACAAGAAGTTCATAAAACTTGGTCTGTTGATGTTAATTGAGATAAGTTGATAGTAAATCAAGTACTTGTAAAAGTCTTCGTAATTTATATTGATCTATATCTTGTAGGTAATTCATTGATGATAAAATTCAATGATAAGATGATTAGTTATAACGATAACTTTCGATTATATATTACTACTAAACTTGCCAACCCGCATTATGCCCCAGAGATATCTACCAAAACTACATTATGCAACTTTGCCATTAAAGAACAAGGTACTCTACCCAGTAGTTTGACTAGCCCTCAGATGATATACTCAACTGTTCCCCTCTTAAGCCTGATGCATTACAGGTTTGGAAACTCAGCTACTTGGAATTGTTGTGAGGAAAGAAAAACCTCAACTCGAACAGCAGAAGGATAAGTTAGTTCTTACTATTGCCAGCAACAAGAGATTGCTTATAGACTTGGAAGATAAAATTTTACAGTAAGTATTATTTCTATCAACAGTTTAGGCTTGCAAGAATATAGCACAACTTTTGAAAGAAAATCAATTTCTAACTTTCTATCATGACATTATTCATCAGTAATCATCATTTGTTGATGATAATAATGATAATACTGTTAAAAAATTATAATATTATAATTAATAGTTTATTTTTGTGAAAACTAAAATTATGAATCCCTAGTTTTGTAAGTTTTCTAGGAAAAAAAAACCTTGCAAGCGAGTGAAAGTTTACTTTCTGATGAAATAATTTTTTCAAACAACAAACTTTTTTTAGTTTACTGAACATCACTTCTGGATCTCTCCTGGATGACTTAGACCTTTTAAATACTCTACAGACTTCAAAAGTAACCGCAACTTCAGTTGAAGAGTCGTTAATAATCTCCGAGCAAACAGAGAAAGAAATCGATGAGGCACGAGAGGAATACCGTCCCTGTTCAAAACGTGCTACGATATTATTTTTCGTGCTTAATGACATGAGTCTGATTGATCCTATGTACCAATTTTCTTTGGAGTCTTACATCAATTTATTCCAACTAAGTATTGACAGAAGCCCCAAGCATATTAAATTAAATGAAAGAATTAATTCGTTGAATGAATATCACACTTATTTGATTTATAAGTAAATATAAATGTTACTTAAGTTTTATATTATATAACTATTTCGTTTTTATTGAAGATAAAACTCTCTTAGGAACACTTGTCGCGGCTTATTTGAGCAACATAAACTTCTATTTTCCTTCCACATGTGTGTAAAAATTCTTGAAGCTCAAGGGAAAATGGTCTCTGCAGAATACAATTTTCTACTAAAAGGAGGAATCGTACTAGACCGTGAAAATCAGCCGGACAAGCCAGTGAACTGGTTACCAGATGAAAGTTGGGACAATATCAGTGAACTAGACAAACTTCCAGGTTTCCACGGAGTTGTATCTTCCTTTGAACAGTTCTCAAGGGATTGGCACAACTGGTACGTTTTCCAACCCCAACAATATTCATTTTATTTACGTTTATTCAACTTGTTCTTTTGAAGGAAATAGATAAATTCAATAAAAATAACCTTTATAGGTACATTAATACTGAACCGGAAACAATATCACTTCCAGGAGAATGGAACGAATTGTTAACTGATTTTCAAAAAATGCTCATTATTAGAAGTTGTAGAGCTGATCGGATAACATTTTGTGTGTCGAGCTTTATCAGATGCAATCTTGGAGCGAAATTTGTTGAACCACCATCTCTTGACCTCAAGGCAGTCCTTGATAACTCAGTAGCACAATCACCCCTAATTTTCGTCTTATCTCCGGGTGTTGATCCCACAGGTGCACTAATGCAATTTGCCGAGCATCAAGACATGAGCTCGAAATTTATGACATTGTCATTAGGTCAGGGACAATCACCTATCGCGACAAGGTAATGATGCTAGGAGAATTTCTTTTCCCTCAAGTGCTCTCAATTCTTAATTAATTTGACATCTATTGACAGAATGATTGAAGTGGGATCGAAAGAAGGATGTTGGGTGTTCTTAGCAAACTGTCATCTTTCATTGAGTTGGATGCCAACTCTTGATAAAATTATTGAAGCTCTTAGCAATAATAAAAATCTTCATCCAGACTTTAGGTAAAAAAAATGTTTTACTAAAAAAGTAAGATAAATTGTATTTGTTGTTGTTTTTTTTTATAGATTATGGTTAAGTTCTAGTCCAACACCACAGTTTCCGATATCAATTCTTCAAGCTGGACTGAAAATGACAACAGAACCACCGAGGGGATTAAAAGCCAACATGAAACGTCTCTATAGTTTAATTACAGAGAACCAATTCGACATTTGTCGGGCGAAAGAAAAATACCAAAAGCTATTATTTACACTTGTTTTTTTTCATTCTGTTTTACTTGAACGTAAAAAATTCCGCCAGCTTGGATGGAATGTTGTGTATAGTTTTAACGATTCTGACTTTGAAGTGTCAGAGAACCTTTTGCAAGTATATCTAGACGAATATCCTGACACGCCCTGGAATGCTTTGAAATATTTGATAGCAGGTGTATGCTATGGCGGTCACGTAACCGACGACTGGGATCGTCGATTGTTGATGACCTACGTCCAACAGTATTTCACAGAAGACGTTTTGACCCAGCCTTTCTATCGACTTTCATCCTCACCAATTTTCTATGTACCTCGAAATGGATCTTTAGATTCTTACCGAGACTTTATTGAGATGCTTCCGAACAGTGACAAGCCGGATGCATTTGGACAACACATGAATGCCGATATAACTTCTTCAATAATAGAGGCTAAGACAATGTTCTCCACCTTGATGAGTTTGCAAATCCAAGTACCATCTAAAGAGAATGAAACTACCAAAGAGGATAAAGTAATGCAGTTATCTATTGACATGGAAGCTATTCTTCCGAAAAATATAGACTATGAGACCACGGCAAAGCTGATTGGACCATCAAAGTCGCCTTTGAGCGTCGTTTTACTTCAAGAGATTGCACGGTATAATATCTTACTTGAAAAAACTAGAACAAGTCTTAGAGATCTTCAACGAGGAATCAAAGGACTAATATTGATGTCTGAAGAGCTGGAAGAAATATTTACTAGTCTGTATGAAGGTCGTGTTCCGTCATCTTGGCTTGAAGCTTATCCTTCCTTAAAACCACTCGGCTCTTGGACTCAAGATCTCATCAGCCGCGTTGAACATTTCGCCAAGTGGGCTGAAACAACTCGACCACCTATGTTATTTTGGCTTGCAGCTTACACGTTCCCAACCAGCTTTCTTACCGCTGTATTGCAAACATCTGCACGACTTTGGAATATTTCCATTGATTCTCTTACATGGGAGTTCAATATCTTCACTAAAACTGAAGCAACGATTGTTGAAGAACCCACGGTAAAATCTTTTCGCAATACTATGATAATAAATTCAATTATCTTATTTATATTTTGTTTTCCAGGATGGAGTTTATATTCGATCTATCTTCCTTGAAGGTGCGAGATGGGATTGGAAAAATGGAATTCTTATAGAACCCACTCCAATGCAGCTTATATGCGATATGCCTGTAATTCATTTTCTACCATGTGAACAGTCAAAGAAAAAGTCTAAAGGTAATTCCATGTTTTTTTTTTTAAAAAAGTCAATCATTTTTAATCCACTATAAATAATAGCACGTGTGCTTTGTTTATTTAGATTAAATGTCAATTATTATAGAGATTATATAATTTACATTGAAAATTATAAATAATCGAATAAACGGCAGCTTTTTGATTATATTAATTATAGAATGAACGAGACAATAAAGCTATCAATATCAAATTGTTATTTAAATACGGATATAAATAATTTGTAACGATAATATAATCTACAGCCAATTTGATTGATAAAATTATTAATCAAAGAGTAAACTGATAATGTTTCATTATAAAAAGCTATGAAACTGAACTGTCATTATTCTAGTGATTGAATTAAATATTAAATCAATGTCCTACAATTACATTTACATATCACAATAAAATAATAAACTAATAAAAATTATTTTCAACACTCACTCTATTTTTGAATATATCCTGTTTTTCAGAGATTTATGCTTGTCCATGTTATTATTATCCACTCCGATCTGGAACACAGCATCGTCCTTCATTCGTTGTCGCTGTGGATTTAAAATCTGGACATGAAAGTCCCAATTTTTGGGTTAAACGTGGAACAGCACTTCTATTAAGTCTTTCAGTATAAATCATTTTTTGAATTAACTAAAATTTAATAATTTTTTAATTAATTAAACTGACAATCAATACTAATACTTTTTAACAATGTTTCATGTTGAATAATGGCACAAGCATTCTTTATTATTGCGCACCGCTTTTTTGACGCTAGGTGTTGGTAATAAAGAATACTATATTATCTTGTACACGTTAGCTACTGTTGGTAAAGAAGTTATTTAGTTTATCAATAGTAGAATCACATGATTGTTAATGTTATCAACTAATTGTCAAGTGTAAAAAAAGAAAGCAACATACATAGACACTTTAGCACCTTACATCTGTATCAGTACTGTATTTGTAGGGGCGTAATTAATTGTTATTCCATTACTCCAATCCCTGTAAGGACAACGAATTTAATGAGTGCAATAAAGTTTTTGTGCATTTCTAGTTTTAAATCTTTATTATTTAAGTGTTATAAATGTGCTTTTTTATGAACTAACTGTAAAAAAACTAATCAGCTTATCAACCGGTTAAGAAATTGTCAAAAGATCATTACTGTCATGAAACATTCTTTTCTGGTTTGTCAGACGTGATTGTGATCATTCCTTTGATACCGCGGCAGACTTTTGAAGATGGGTGAGTATAGGTTATCAACATAAACTCCAGCTTAATAACTTTTTACAAGAATTAGACAAAAAATCTGAAAGCATCTTTAAAATAAATATTTACAGATGACTCGAATGAATCACAAAAGTGGCAGCAACATCTATCTCTTCTTAGAACTCAGTATGTCAATCTCTACACATCTAACAATGAACTTCAACAAAAATATGCAATAGCTACAGCTTCAAAGCAGGAATCTGGATTTATTGAAAGGTTATTAGCGACTATAGCATCTCTTTATGGGCAAAAGCAATATAGGTAAGTGTTATAAATCAATTTTTATTAAAAAATTTAATAGAATTGAATGTCTTTAACCTGCATAATCTATTAAATATTAAATTTATTACAGTGATTTGACTATAAAACTACCAAATAATGAAATACCCGCACACAAATTTGTATTGAGTGCAAGAAGTGATTTCTGGAATGAGGCTTCACTAGCGAACATATCCGTTTTAGGTATGTATAACATTCAGCATAAATATTTTATTTTAAATGACTAATATTAGTGTACACTATTACATTTTTATTCAACATATACCACTAACTTTCGTACTTACAACTTATGTATTTTGGATATGGAATCATTTATTATTTTAAAAACACCAATTTCTCGCAGAATAGTAAAAACATCTCTTAAAATAAAATATCAAAAACCTTTTATCAAACTAATTGATAACACCGTGTAGTTACGTTTATCACTGTACATTAAATATCACATTTTTATCATAAAAACAAGAACATTACTGCATCAGTTTTTTCAGTTGTTGATAACTGGTAGTTATATTTTATATTTTTTGAGTAGATTTACAAAATCTCTGATGACATTTCCTCTACAACATGAACATAAACACAATCAATATGTCCTTCATTATTGATTATTCATTCAGATCAATGTAATACATAAAACACTGATTACCATTTTTTTTGTCATAAGTTGTCTCAATTATATGCATTTTCTGATTCATTAATTCCATGAAAAATACTGTAGTCAGCAGAGTCATAGATGGTTCTAAAGATAAACACTTCATGGAAGCTAAAGAATAAGAAGTGAATGAAATGGATATAAATAGTTTTTTACTCTAAAAATTTGTTTTTAATTAATTAATTCCTTTTTATTAATCTTTAAATAAATTATAAACTCATCAGTTTATTTATTTATTTTATTATAAATGAGTATTTTTTATTTTTTTCTTCTCTTATTCAAATTAGAGTGATTATTTCTTTTAACTTGTTTACATTAATTATTTTATAGTTTAAAACATTGAATTGAATTAATTGAATTAATAAGTAAATGAATGTCTCTTAGATTGGAGTCATTTGGATGGTACAGCAGGAGCTATCCTTCTAAAGTGGATTTATACGAGTGTAGTTGACAAAAATAATTTAACATTAGAGCTGATGAAAGCTGCATCGTATTTTCAGTTAAAAGAATTAGTGGAACAATGTGAAACATATTTGATAGGAACTGTAAGTCTCAGAGATTGCGTGACTCTCTACACAGCAGCTGAAGAATTGGGAGCTGAAAAATTAAGGAACTATTGCAGTTCTTTAATATCTACACATTGGGTAATTTTAATTATTTTATATCAAGCTATTAAAACAACTTGCGATTGTGTGTCTACAATCCATTTTAGGAAGACTTAACAGGAGAAGATTTTAAAGAAATGCCTGGACCACTTCTGTATGAACTACTCAAGACTAAAAGTGATTACCCACTTCATTCAGCAGTCCGACTTGAACGGGAAGACGTAGTCTTTTTATATCTCGTAGAACACAATGCTGAGGTAAGTATTTTGCTCTTATTTTTTTTTCTCCAAAAATAACTCGTCTAAATCTTTTTATTGATACTCACAGCACGATTTTTTTAGTATATACATTTATTTACACATTTAAGTGAAGGCAGTGGGGATTTATATCGAGATAAAGTATCAAAAAATTGTTAAAATACTTGGAATGATAATACTCATAATGAATAATTCTTTTAACGATTGACTTCCATTGCATAAATTAAATTGACAAAAACAATATTCTGGAGGTCCACCAGGGGATCCTCTATCCTCTCCGGGAAAACAACCTTCCGTATATGCTGTTCGAATTATTTTTTCCGTGTCCCTCCAAACTTTTTCATTTTCATCGTACGTTTTAAAAACATTCAACTGTAAAGCACATCCTCTTTCTACACTTGTTTTTACCACGGCTGAAATTACAATGACTCATAATCGTTATTGAAAAGTAGATATGAATAAAAAAAAAATTAGGAAGACTTACATCCGTTGCCTAGTTTATGATAAATCGTACGCTTCATACACATTGTTGACTTTGGACAGTATACTTGAAATTGATAATTCTCTTCAAATTGACTACATATTTGCGTAACATTGACTTCATTTTTTACAGGTGCTACTGTACATTTATAACACATAATACCTTCACCCGACACTTCAGACATACCTGCAAAACAATATAATATCATTAATATATATAATTTTTCAAGAATAATTGTGTAGAAAGTTAATACCAAGATTCATTCTTACACGCAATCATAACAGGAATCCATAACAGCAATCTTTTATGAAATTTCATGGTCGTAAACATCAACTCATTCGTCGAAACTCACAAATAAAAATCATAGCTCCAACAATATAAAGTAAAAAAACCTAGCTTTACTTTTATGTCAATATGGAAATTTCTTAATTAACTGCATTTTATGCTGCTCTCTTCTCATCCTACTTCTTTGGTTATTATAAATAATAATGAACCTTTATTGACGCTAATAAAGAAATAGTATTTGACCTCGATCACTCCTGTCGGTGATCGATTGACACATCGATTAATTACTCAACACCACGAGGACGTTCACCATGCGTATGTTAACATCACAAACAACAAAATAATTATTTAACATCGAGGGAAACAATTTTATTTCAAATCTCGCGGTACTTCCTTAAACATCTAGCACAAGGTTGAAAAATAATCAACACATTTTCTGTGATAATTCTGTCATGCTTGTGTTTCTCTTACTGCTTGTGATAATCCACTTGACGTAGTCAGAAACTTATTGGTTGCAGCCAGTTTCAATATGTTCTGTGCTACGTCATCTCCCCACTCTTCTGCTACCTCAACAACGTCCACCAACTATAGCACACCCATCAATGCGCACGACTGTAACAGGGAATCTTGAAATCATTAATAAAACAACTTTCTTATACTTGGCGGAATGCAAAACGATTACGTATTTACTTTAATTTGGTCATTATGAGACAAGACAGGCATGCATTCCTATAGAACAAAGAAATGACTTGATAACGCTGACCAGAACTTCCGCAGCCAATGTATGAGCACGGATGCATGTAGTCACGTTAAAAGCATTCAGAGAGGGTCTATTCTATCCGGTTTCCCTAATAGAGGGATACACGATGCGTATCAGCGTCCCTTTTTTTATTCTTCATTTCTAGCACCAACTTGTTCACATGATTAACACATTCTTTTATTTATTTCAGCTCTCAACTGCAGTCAACGCTGTCGATCACAAGGGACGAAGAGCTCTCGAAGTTGCACTCAAGTCACGTCAGCCATCTCTAGCACGAACTTTAGTTGAACATCAAGCCGATTTGTGTGCTAAAGACTCCAAAGGCTTGACACTTTTACAGTCTGCTATTTATAAAGGCGATTCGTATGCGGCTGAGTTCATTATCGAACAGCTAGAGAACAGCGGTACTTCACAGCGATTATGTGACCCTTTGAGGTTGAATGACAAAGACCTTGATGAAACATTCAAGTTATTTGAAGGATGTTCAGTTTTGCATTTAGTTGCTAGACATAATACCCCTGACATGATCGCTGTGGCGACTAAGCTATTGCAAGCAGGTATTGATGAGAATTTGCAAGATAATCGAGGATGGACTGCTTTACATTGGAGTATTGCAGAAAAGCATGAACCATTGTTTGAACTCCTATTAGATTCTAAGAATATTGATTTAGATGTTACCACCAACGATGGTCATACTCCACTTTCTTTTGCTCTTAAAGTTGATCCATATCAAAAGACATTCGCGGAGAAACTTTTATCAAAAGGTGCAATACCTAATCCAATTTATTCTGGTACTCGAGATACTTTGTTACATATTCTTGCAAGAGAAGGAAAGGAAGAGGCAGCTATCTTTTTAGTGACACATTCCAAGGATGATAATTTATCTAAAAAATTCAACGCGGAAGGCTATACGATACTTCATGAAAGTTGTAAAGCAGGTTTAGCTGATTTAACTAAATTGTTACTTGAGAAGGATGATTTAGGATCATGTACAACAGCTGTAACCAAGGATACAGAGGAAGTACCACTTCATTTAGCAGTATCCAATTTACATTATCCAGTAGTTGAAGCACTTTTGAAATTTGCAAAGAATCCTAAAGATCAATTGGATTGCAAAGATAAAGAAGGAGAAACACCTTTAAGTTTAGCAATAAAAGCACCGCTGAAAAAAGGTCGAGAGATAGTTGCAGCATTAATTAACGCAGGAGCTAATATTAATGAAAAAAATGATAAAGGATTAAGTTTACTTCATCAAGCAATTTTAAAAGAAGACTCAGCAACAGCAATATTTCTTCTAGAAAATGGAGCAGACATGAATGAAAAAACAGCAGAAGGTGAAACACCTCTTCAATTAAGTGTACATTGTAGGCTTGGTGAAGTGGTGGAGGCTCTTTGCAGGCGAGGAGTCGATACTTCTACTGGTTGCCCTCTTTGGGATGCCTTGGACACAGACCAAGAAGATACAGCATCAATTCTAGTTTCCCATGGTGCTGATACTGACTGTTGGAGTCCAGGACCAGATGGATGTCTTCAAACTCTGCTTCATCGTGCAATAGATGATAACAAAGAAGAAGTAGCGCAATTTTTGATACGTAGTGGATGTGATTTAAATGCTCCAAGAAGACCGGGACCCAACGGCGAAGGTGGTGATGAAGCTCGAGATAATTGTACACCTTTACATTTATGTTGCCAGTGGGGTCTTGAACAAGTAGTTCAGACTTTAGTGGAACACGGTGCTAATGTGAACGCTAGAGATTCCGAAGGAAAAACCCCTATACATATAGCAATTCAAAACCAACATGCACAAATTATTTCCCTTCTTTTATGTCATCCTAATTTAGATCTATCATTAAGAGACAAAAAAGGTCTGAGTCCATTTGCAACAGCGTTAACTGTACGAAACAATAAAGCAGCTCAAGCAATATTAGAAAAACTTCCCAGTGCTGCAGAACAATTTGACAACAAAGGTAGAAACTTCTTACACATGGCTATACAAAAAGATGACATGGAAAGTATTCTTTTTTTGCTTTCCATTCAAGTCGATGTTAACTCCAGAGTTCAAGACGTTACACAGACACCACCACTCCACTTAGCCGTTGTTTCAGGCAACGAAATGCTCGTACGTAGTTTAATTTTAGCTGGTGCGAGGATAAATGATACTGATGCTCATAGAAATACTGCTCTACATGCTGCTGCTGCTGCAGGTCATGCTGCCGTTGTTTCTGCTTTACTTCAAAATAATATAAACTTTGACGCAGTTAACACAGATGGTGACAATGCGTTGCATGTAGCAGTGCGCAAAGGTCATGTAGCTGTTGTAAGAACGTTGTTAACTGAATGTACATTGAATGCAGAAACTGTGAATTTAAAAGGGAGAAATCCTCTTCATGAACTCGCTAGATCTAGTAGAGACAATGCAGCGACAATTTGTGAACTTTTTCTCGAATGTATGGAGCAGTATCCCATCAACAATGCAGGTAACAATTAATGACTGACTTTGCTCTTTTGTTATATCGAAGAATATTAATAATTGAAGAAAATAATTATTTCAGATGCTGATGGAAATACACCCTTGTTAATTGCATATATGAATGGCAATGGAAATCTCTGTAGGACTCTTGTAAAAGCTGGTGCATGTCTTGGATCTATGAATAAAGATGGAATCACAATTTTCAATTATCAAGTTGCTACAAAACAATTGTTATATCGATTATTGGATTCATTGACTCAAGAAGCTCCATGGACAGATAAAGATATTTGTTTGGAATGTGGTACTAAATTTACACTCACTATGAGAAAGCATCACTGGTAAATTTTTTAATATATATTTTACTTTATTATGCATCTAATCATGATGATAACAATTATTATTCTTTTCAGCCGTCATTGCGGTAGAATATTATGTAACAAATGCTCTGGTCAAGACGTGCCAATACTCAAATTTGGATTAAATAAACCAGTACGAGTTTGTGGAGTATGTTTTGATGTATTACAAATTGGAGCAGACTAGATGATAGTCAAATTTTCAATTGATTTTTTATAGATGACAAGACTGGCAGATAAATCTGCTGATACGTATTATAAGAAGAATTCCATTAATACCTTTGAACATTTATAATATAACAATAATGTTGTTTTTTAAATATGAACTCAAAAAGAAATTATGTCAAAAAAATTTAATTAATAAATCAAACATAATGACAATTGTAGTGAATCTTTACTTTTGATTATTGTTTAATTTAAATTTGAATATTTATTTCTAGTTTTAAATATTTATATACAGTCAATAGAACTATTAGATTTATTTGAAACAGATTAATTACCAATTGTAATCTACTTAAGCAATTTCATGAGACCATGAGCCGCACAATGATCAACACAGCTCACATAATCTATTATTTCTTCTAAACAAGTTTCGCTTGTTTTCGTTCTTGAATTAACTCTGTCATTGCAAGTATCCAATTTTTCTTTAAGTGTAATGCATTTAGGTTTTTGCCTACATTCCTCCTGCAATATATTAATGAAATATAAATTAATTATTGATTAACACAATTGTAGCAATGTTTCAATGAATATACAAATAAATTATGTAATATTTTAACTGAACACTCACACGACGAACTTGCAGAGGATCAACTAATTCTTCATCCTCGGCTTTGACGGCCGGTACCAATCGGGAGATAAAATTTTGAAAAAAAGACATTTTTATGCCTGAAAAAATACAAATACTATTTATGTCATGTATTTATAAACTACACAAGAAAATAAAGTAAATTTTTTGAAATTAACTTGAACCTTTTCAAGATAAACGTACACGCTGAATGGAGAAGATGGCTACGTCATGAACCAAGTACTGCTAGAGATATGAAAACGTAGAGCAAGAAGAATCGACATAAAAAAGATATCTATTTTATCATGGTTTAATAAATGTATCCACGCGTTAATTCTCCCCACCTTACTCTTGTTTATCGCAACACAAATAACAGACACACACACACATTAAAGAAATAAGACTTGCATTGTCTAAATTTTCAATGTTTGTGCATTCCCGCTGGCGTGTCGCCGCCTGGTGCTCTACGTTTTATTAGATTCTGAGGCAAACTAAAGCAAAGATTACAATTGGCTTTGGTGGCCCTCAGTACATATTGCATCTAGAACGAGTACGATAAACGTGTAAACGACGAAAGAAAAAACACAGCCGTGTCATCACGTCGAGTCAACGAGAAAAAACGAAAGGACTACGATCATTCCTCCGGGTTCGTGCCCGATACTTTTATGATGGGAGCTGACCGGAATCCTACCTGAAAAAGAATTTTCAAGGTTTGTCATTATTTTTAATTAACCTGCAAATTAGTATTTAAGTATGTAGCAAAGATATTGTTTAATATTCGTTTATTTCAATTTAATCTAGAGGTTAAATTTGGTAGCCGCTTCAATTTGGCTGCTGCTAAAAGTTAATTTGAGGTTATGTGACTGCAATAATTATTCTAATCATTATTATCAGTTATCAAGTTACAAGATAATAAATAAAGGGTATATTGAAGAACAATTGTTGTCTAAGTCTAATTATAACCTAATGAAAATGAAATAAATCCTTAGTATTTATATTATTGTTTATTGCTTCCAAATGACACGGTTGACAGTGTCGTTTTTGATTACAGAAATTTGTTTGGAATTTGATATGGATGGATAATGCCTGGAGGCTATGAACGGTATGGAGAGACATGGACATGGGCACAGTCATTCCCATGCACATCCACATCATCACCATCATCATCATCGGCATCATCACCATCATCATTCATCACCTGCATCATCTACGCCAAGTGCAAGTGGACAAGCAACGCCGCAAAATTTTAATCAACAGCCAAAGCATGGTCATGGACATGCGATTCATCCGTCAAAGGATCCTGCTGTTGTACCAGCACCTCCTCCACAAAAACTTAGAAATTATAAATTACTCGTTGATCCGTTTCTTACGAAAGGTGCTACAAAATTATATAGATATGATGGCGTTGTTCCTGGTGATCCAACATATCCACCTGTTCACCTTCGTGATCCACGATCTCAATTAACGCGAATATGGACACGATTGGAACAGTTGGATCTACCAGTTCCGCGATTTAAAATCGATGCTAATTATTGTGGCGAACCACCACCACTAGAAGTGACGTTTTGCCATCTAAACGACAATATAGACAGAACATTTTTAACTGATATGGTTCAAAAGTTTGGTGCAGTGGAAGAACTTACGATATATTATCATCCAGTGACAAACAAACACCTTGGTATTGCTAGAGTTGTATTTGAAACAACAAAAGCAGCAAAGGCATGTGTAGATAAATTGAATAATACATCTGTGATGGGTAAAGTACTACGGGTATTTTTGGATGCATTTGGTGAGGAATGTAAAAAAACTTATACAGAATTGACAACGGAAAAGAAACCAGAGAAGAAAATTGAAAAAGAAATTAAATCGGAAATTGATTCGGAAAAGCATACGCCTATTGATAAAATTGTTGATGATCGTGATGATTATAGAAGTAAAAAAAGTTTAGTTTCAGATAAATCGAGAGTGGATGGGTATATTGACAATTCACGGTTTGGTAATAAGTATAGAGACTATCCTACTCCTGGAGGTAGTACCGGTAGTGATTTAGGATATGGGACAGCCCCTAGCGAAATGAATTTTTCGAGTAGTTATTCTCAGAGTTCAACACCAGCTAGTTATGATTACTATTATTCTAGTTATCATCATCAACCAAGTGGATATGTACCTGCTATGCCATCAGGACCCCCACCACTTCCTCCACCAGCCCCACCTATGCCTACTCCTCCAGTTCAAGCGAATTCTGGAGTTTGGTGGCCTGGTAATTCTACTGGCTATCCACCACCGGTATGGCCTACACATACAGTACCTCCTGTTACTGTTGAAAGTGTTCCACCAATGTCTTCATCGAAAAATTCTAATGCCAAAGTATCTCATCCTCCAACGAAAGAAAAAGAAAGTCAATCAACAACACCGAAAACTGTGACACAAGATTCTCCAGTTGAAACTCGTAAAACTCTCGATTTAGATACAAGAATCGCTATGTTATTAAAAGATAAAGCGGGTGGTATGGCGCCACCTTTTCTTCAATTTGGTAGTGATTCTGAAGATGAGAAAAAATCGGAAGAAGAAGAACAAATGTTATCTGATCCACCAAGTCCTTTTCTTTCAGCAGAAGTGTACAAAAGTTGTTTTGAACAAAAGACTGAGCGAGCAAAAGAACGTAGAAAAGCTCACGAAAACAATATTAATCAATTTTCTGTTGATGAAGACCTCGGTAGTGTAATTAGTTCAAGTGAAGATGAAGCTCTTTTAGGAAGTTATAGTCCAGCAGCAGTAGATGGTGAACCAGAACCACCAAAAGAACCTCCACCACCACCCCCGCCTGACGACGATCGCATGTCACTGAGCCCTCTCAGTTCTGGTGATGAAAAAATAGAAGAAGTAATTGCTCAAACAGAACCCAATAATCAAATATACGGAGGAGCTTCTTACCCTGGTCATCTTACTCATTATCCACCACCAGCTGACATGTATGGTTGGCCAAGACCAACACATTATCCTTATCCTTACGGAGCTCCATATATGCCAACGCAATACCAGTCAACCACAACTCTTACTGGTGGTGTTGGTTCCCAAGGTACAAATTATTATCCCAATTTTCATTCAAGATTTCAAGCAATGGCTAATCATAATATCACAAAAGATAATCCTCAAGGCGCTACCATTAACGGTGTCCTTGAACGTGTAGTGAATGAATTAAAGCAAATATTAAAGAAAGACTTTAATAAAAAAATGGTTGAAAATACAGCATTCAAACTTTTTGAAGTTTGGTGGGATGAAAAGAAAAATGAGAAGAGTCGAATAAATGATGAAAGTACCACAGTGAACAATACAACAAAGGAAGAATCGAAACCATTATCATCACTTCTTGAACAAGCAACTCCTTTAGGTTTCAACTATGATGGTATTGGTCTCGGCATCCGAGCGAGTATACCGAAGATGCCTTCATTTAGGCGGAAAGTTAAAGCTCCAAGTCCTCCGCCACAAGATGAAGATAGTCGGCAATCAGATCGAATGGATACTGAGCTTATCGATAGCGATAGTGATATGGATCTTTCTCCGGTTTCACCATCTAAAGAATCAAAACGAAATCTTACTTTGCCAAGCAGTGCCTCGTCTACCTCCGCGTTGTCTTCAAATGAAAGCTCAAGTTCCGGTCCCAGCAGTGAATCTTCAGGTAGTTCCAGCGATAGTTCTGACGATGAAGAAGAAGCTGATTCAGACAGCAGGCTTTCTGATCATCGATTACTAGCATGTAATAGTAAAAATCCTGATATTCTAATGGAATTAGCAATTCAAAGATCACTTAATTGTCCAACACCTAGTGGTAGAGAAACCCCAATTCCTGAATTGGAGTTGGATGATGCTTCTGTTGATTTCCCACAACTCAACAACGATCCAAGTCCATATAGTTCTCCAAAGGCTGAACGTTCAGTTACACCAGTGACTAGTGTTACTAATGTACCTAGTGCAGGGTCAGAAGTTAAGGATGAACCAAAAGACATCTCGAAGATGGAAAATTCTGCTGCAGAAGCATTAATGACTCTCGCTGGTCATGATAATATTATAAGACACAAGAGTCCAGGTCCCATTCAACCGAATATCATTCGATCTATTCAAAACATGTCTTCAAAATATATCAATAACGAGCCTATCCTCAAAGAATCTGAAAAGATTGAAATGTTTAGTGAAATACCTACATCAGATTCAGAAGAAGAAAGCCTTGAAATTAGAAGATTAAGGTATCAAGCAGAGACTGAATTACGCTTGAATGGACAGCGAAGTCCAAGTACTACTAGACCACAAGCTGCTCAAGTATACATAGAGCATTCGTACTCTCTTCCACCTGCACAGGTTGAACCACCTCCCCCAACAACGTCCGTACTATCAACTCCAGCTCCTGCTCCTCCGCAACCGCTGGCTAAACCTAAGGCTGTGAAACCGGCTAAAGTAGAAAAACCACAGGAAAAAACAGAAAAACGAAAATACAATAAATATTCCAAATTAACGGCACATCAGAATCATGTGAGAGAAAAAGAAAATATCAATGAATTTATTAATGAAAGACTGCCGAAGAAATTGTCAGAAACACCACCTGTTACATATAAAGAAAGAGACATTATGACAGAGATGGGAGTTCTTTATGAGTTTCTTACCCGTGGTATTGATGCTGAAGATATCGAATACCTACGTCGAAGTTACGAAGCACTGCTCGCTGACGATAATCAAGGCTATTGGCTAAATGATACCCATTGGGTAGATCATCCAGCCACAGATATTCCCAGTCCGGCAAAGAGAAGAAAAAGAGATGAAATAAGACTTCATGCGACTGGAAGTGCCAGGACAGAAGGATATTATAAAGTGGATATTAAAGAAAAAGCAAAACATAAACATCACTATGCTCAAAGCATACAACGTTCAAATGAGATAGAATTGAGTGCTGGTGCTTATGTTGGAGGTGACGGTATGAGTAATGGGCCTAAAGGCATTTCGAAAGCTCTTACTGGAAAAATGCAAGCTCTATCCCGTGAAGCACGCAGCAATCAACGTCGTTTACTTACTGCTTTTGGTATTGATACTGATAGTGATCTTCTCAAGTTTAATCAATTGAAGGTAAATATTTTTTTTCCATATCAAGTTAAAATCAACGCTACAATACTATTCATTAAACGTATTCTCTTTAGTTCCGTAAAAAACAACTTAAATTCGCTAAATCTGGGATTCATGACTGGGGTCTATTTGCAATGGAACCTATAGCTGCCGATGAAATGGTCATTGAATATGTAGGACAAATGATAAGGCCGATTGTAGCGGATCTTCGAGAATCTCAATATGAGGCCACGGGTATCGGAAGCTCTTACCTTTTCCGAATTGATCTGGATACAATCATTGATGCAACAAAGTGTGGAAACTTAGCACGGTTTATCAACCATAGTTGCAACGTAAGATTTTTTTGATCACTCTTGAGTGACTTCTTATCTTCAACATTTTATTAGGAAGTTTTTCTATTTGTATTAATTTATATTTTTCGTTAATATTAACATGTATTTATTTATATTACAGCCCAATTGTTATGCTAAAGTTATAACAATTGAAAGCCAGAAAAAAATTGTGATCTACAGCAAACAACCAATTGGTATTAATGAAGAAATAACTTACGACTACAAGTTTCCACTTGAAGAAGATAAGATACCTTGCCTCTGTGGTGCACCACAGTGTCGTGGTACTCTTAATTAAAAATCAACAAAATTCAATATTTATCATCGTGTTTTACACGATGATTGCTCATCATTCTCATTATTCCTCACCTTATTCTCTTCAATTATCTTTTACTTCATCGTGTCCTACTCATATTTTTGTAAATAAAAACCCCTATGTAAACATTTTTTAAAAATGCAAATGGAAAATGCTAAATTATGACGGATAAATGAGTTTCTATTGAATTTAAACAAATAACAAAAACGAAGACAAAATGTCTTGTCAAAAAAGTTTTAATTCAAATGAATATTATGTACATAAATCCAACTAGTGTATTAATTAATTACATTCGATGAAGGATCCGGAGTAGAGTGTGAATTGCTGCTTGTAGATACAGAACCAACATTATTGTAATTTTCCTGCTTTAATGTTTGTGGTGGATTGAGATTCATAGATAATACTGTACTAGGTGTGATAGGATTTTGCATGTCGAGTTGACTCTGAGCTATATCTTGTAGAGCAGCTTGAATCCTTTGAAGTAAATCCTCACCCTGACGAACAATTTCCTCTAATTGCTCACCAGCTTCTAAATTTTCTTGTTCTAAACGACTAAGACTTGCTACCTGAAGTTCTTGTGATGAATCTTCACTTGGAAGGCTTTCTATCAACGTATCTATGTCCTTCGCACAGCGTGCAATAAGTGTAGCAAATAATGCAGCATAATCTTCTTGAGTCTGATGAGGTTGAGGAGTTCCAACTCGATCAAACCCTGGAAACTTGCTTGGAGTTGAATATTGTTGAAGAATTCCTATACTATTACAAAAGTGTTCAGCTTGCTATAAGATAGAAGTATTTCATTAATTATTTCAGAGGTTATAATTATGATGAATTTAAATTTTTATTTATATACCTGATTTACTGTGTCTTGTAACTGTGTCAAACGATCAGCCATAGTTTGATTGGATAGTAATGTTTTATGTACACTTTTAAAATTTACAATATAATATATTATATAAAATTTATTTGACAGATAATTGTTATTTCAATATGACCATTTTGCTGATCAGTAATAACCTTTAATAAACATAGGTTTTCATAGATTTTGTAATGTTCTCAATTCAAGTTTATTGTATGAAAAATAATTATACTGTAATTTTGTTCAATGTTCTATAAATTTATGCTTTCCTATAAAAATAAATATAAAAAAGCTTTGTGAAACTTGTGAAATAAATAATATTATTTTCTTGTATAAACTGATTTAAACCAATTATTATTCTGTCATTGAGACTGGATTGAAGTCGGAAAGCTTCTCAAAGTTGATTTTACGCCCTCCTTTTGTGTGGCAGAAAGCGGAAGCTCGATTTTATTCGAAATAAAGTAGGTAACATGGAGAATATAATTATATTATTATATTCTCCATAGTAGGTAACTAGGAAATCGTTTTGAAATTGATAATTTACGGGGAGTCCTAACAAAGAAACAAAGAATCTTAGAGCACCAAAAATTTTCGAATTATTTGAATTACTTTTTTTTAAAATTAAAAATTAAAAGGAAAAAAAAAACAAGAAATACTTTTATACTTAAGTTTATTTCATTACATTTGCATATCACAGTGATTATTTGTTATATAAAAAGTCTTTTTAAAATAAATATGCATATATTCATAAATATGTTATGTGTTATTTTTTGTTTTATTCTAAACATAACATTTGCTTCAGAATAGATGTCGCTCAAACAACGTTCCCAATTTTTTCGGCAAGATATTGAGTCGCCCTCTATCGAGTTTGTGTTTCATTTTGACGCGTAGATATAAAATTTATTAATTCGGAAACCACTAAATTATATGATTATCTTTATTTAAAAATTGTACATAAATCACATTAAAAGTTTATCCAATTAAAATAAATAAAATATTTAAAGGAAATATTTAAATATCATTTTTACACAAGACTAGTTTTTATTATTGTTAAGATGAAATTTTATTGTAGACAATAATTACGGTGAAAAATAAGCTAGATTTAGTGTCTGCATAAGCATAAAAATAAATAGATATACAACAATCAACTTCCAAGCATGAAACAAGTCACAATGGATGTTAAACAATTAATGTTTTTTTTTTTTATTTTTTTTCTAACTCTTTAAATGCCCCGCGTACTTGAATCGATGGATTGGCGTCGCCTAGTGGCGAAGTGCTCCATATCACGCACAAAACATACAATTTTATATGAGTGTTTAACATTTCTCCCCATTTATAACGTCACATAGTGGATTTTTTTTTATAATTTAAAAGGATTAGAATAATCAATTTACAAAAATGTAAAAACAGTTATAAGAATGATTGGATCCTTATATCCTACACCCTAAGGTAAGTAGTGCTCATTTTTATGCTCATCATATAATAATTAAATATATCATCATTTAATATATTTATTAATGGCATTAATTACTTATTATGGTCATTGATGAATTAATATTTATGTTTTAATTATGATAATGTCTAATGAAAATTTATATCATGGATTGATTATTTGAACAATTACGCACAACAAGTAATAGAATTAAGTAGAAAATAAAGAAAGTTTCGTGTTGAGCTTTTCATTAAAGTATAAGAGTCGATTCTTGTGCGTATAACTCGAAAATCAATAACTCATTCAGTTCCTGCATAAAAACAAAACACAAATTGTTGATCTTATACCATATTGTATGAATTTTTCATGTCTATTTTTTATAATTTTGTTAACAATATAAAACATTTTTGTTTTTATAATGTACACTCTTGGATAAGTATGAGTTTTAAGTGAATTTTGTAAATTTCAAGTTATCAAATGATTGAAGAATTATTGTTTTTTATTTTATTTTATTCAACAAAATTTTTAAGGAAAAGATAATTATATTATTATATGCTAATCATTAAGTGTCTGGGTAAAACAAAATTATTCATCTGAAAAGTAGTGATAGAAAATAAGAAATTAATGCCTTCAATTCAAATTAAATATTTCTTTTTAAGTGTAAAATTTTGTTATTTTTTGAATTATTCATCAATGAATAATAATAATAATTTAAATTATACTTGTTCATAAAAATTTATGATAAATTGTTTATCTGTACAGAAAAAATACCCATGAATTGGTTAACGCTTTAATAAATTTGTTTACAATCGAATTGGACAGAATTAAGAACTGAGTTAACAGCAATAGAATGTAGGAGTAAAGATTTTCGGTAAGCAAAATATTGTGAATATCTAAAATTTTATTTTTATTAGTGAAATAAATGCAATAATATAATAATTAAATTTGTTTAAGATAATGGATAGTCATTCTGCAAGTGCTGTTGCTATATTGAGCACGATTGGAGCTGCAACAGGTGCATTGTCAGCTGTTATTTTCTATGCTGTCTGTATAAGACGTCGGTTCCCTCTGTTTATACCTGGTGGTGGACCTTTAAATTGGTTTGAAAAAGACCTTCTGGAGCGAGCAAAGGAAACAGCAAAAGCATCAACAGAAAAGTTTGCTGAACTTGGAAAAGTTGGAAATATCCTTGGACGTGATCCAGTAAATAATGTAAAAGATGGAATATTTGATAATATCACTTGGCAACAGAAAAATCAACAATTTGATACTATCTCAGAAACGGCAGGTAACAATATTTTATCTATTTTATTATTAAAAATGAACTTCATCTTGTAAATTATTTCTATTACTAGTAATTATTTATTTCTATTCAAAACAGACAATGATGTACCAAAAACTCCTCTCACTCCTTTTACACCATCCCTTCTAGAAGATACGGTATTTTCTTCAAATGAACGTATGGTTGTGGTTAAAGTACAACCAAAAATTTCTAATGGATCAACTTTAAGTAGTACGGATAGTGATTCAGGTTACCGTAAAGTACGTTGTGTGATTTATTATTAATCACTGAAAAAAAAAAGTTTTTTTATACAAAATTCATTGAATATTTACTTGATATACTTATTTTTTCTCAGTGTATTATTGTAGAATACAGTTTTTAAACGTTCTTATGAAAAATACATTTACGTTTGTTTTTAGCAATCATCATGGTCATCTTCGTCTTCACTAGATGAAAGCGGAGGTGAATTGCAACTAAGCTTATTTTACGATACTACTCGCGGTATTCTGTCCGTTAAATTAATCGAGGTGAGTAAATTTTATTGTTAAAATCCATTATTTTTTTATTTTTAAAAAATATTATTCTAATTAAATAATTGTGTAACCAACAAGGAACTTTCCGATCTATAAATTATTTTAAAACACGTCTTTAAAAAATTATGATTTTACTCATATTGTGTGAATGTACAAATATTTGTGAGAAATTTTTATCTAGAAACTGATCATAAGATCATAGTTAAATCAAACATTGTGAAATGATAAATGATTGACGTCAATGCCACCTAGAACTGATTAAATTCCTACTCAGTTTATTAAATTTTTCATATCAAACAAAAAATGTGAAAAATAGGTCTGAGCACACTTTGTCTGTGCTAACACGACGAACTTCCCATTAGTAATTGTTTATAACAAATTTGATACATGCACACATCATTCTAAAAATATGTCAGTATGCTTGCAAATATCTTGAAACGTGGAGATTTAATGAAAATTCAAATTTTACCAATCGACCCAATTACAATAACTTCCTAACGGGAAGTTAAAAATGCTGACGTCCATACATACATACATACATTCCAAATTAGAACTGACGGCAATGCGCATGTTCCAAATCAGCAATACTCTACTACAGTTAGTTTTTTGCATACTTATTGTATTTTATTGATACCAATCCGCTGTAGATGTGCAAAATATCACTTTCGAGATATCTATTAAAAAGTTAATCAGTATTACTAGTTGTTTATTGATATTACTCAGAAGTTTCCTGTTTTTTCTATAATGTACTTTTCCAAACTTTAACAATAAGTAAAAATTCTACTTAAACGAAAGTGAAGAAGAAGCTGTATCAAATACGTTTGATAAGTGATACTCATATCATTAGTTCTCTGAAGAATTCCTCTTAAGTGAAGTCAAAACATAAGTTATAATTATAAAAATTATACATGAAGGTCAAGAAACAGTCTATTAGAACGAAAAATCAAAAAGCAAAAATGAAACGTCGTATGAGAGATTTATTGAATGGCATGGACAAAACAATTACCCCTGATGATCTTCTTGAAAGAGTGAGAAAAAGAAGAGAGCAACAACGAAAATATATGCGAAATCGTCGAGCAGATCCGGCTTATAGTAAAATAGAAAATGAAAAAAATCGAATTAGAAAGGCACAAAGGCGACTAAATGAAAAACTCAGATTGGAAGAAAATGAAAAGAATCTTGAACGTATGAGATGTAAGAGAAGGAATGGATCAGTTCAGAAGAGAAAAAGAAAGAACAATGGAAAAAAACAGATAAAAGAAGCAGTCAATCATGAAAATTCTGCAATAGTAAGTTAGATAATCCAGATAGAGAAATAGATTGGATATATAGATTCGCAATTACTGATTCAAATTTTTTACAGAAGGTTGAAGAAGTTCAAAGGACCTCAGATTCAGAACAACAGCTGAATAATAACGAGAATTAAATTTATCATTAAAATTAAAATCAATTAAAGAACAGTACATTATTACTATAATAAGTAGATAAAATAATAAAAATAAGAATTGTTATGTTTGGTATTAATGAGTATAGTTGTCGTTAGTTTCTTTGATATTGTGATTAGTATTGAAAGGCTGGAGTTAAAATAATTAAAAAATTATTTTCAATTATATAGCTAGCAAAATTACATTTTTATAATAATTACCGATAATGATATTTGATGTATGAATGTATGACTGTATTTAAATATGTTTGAATGAGTACTTTCTATTTATTAGGAAAAAATGAGTTTAAAATAACAATCTGTGTTTAATACATATTTTGTAATAGTAATTAATTTAATGAAGTAAACAATTATTTTATTTAAACAAATAAAATCAATTTAACTATTTAGAAAAACAAATTATAAGATGATTGAAATTAATAAATGTTTGTAAAAACATATCCAAATTGAACCAGTGTCCAAGTTTAGTTAATCAGATCAATAAATAAATGAATATAGATAGAGTTCTAATACTTTTTTTTTAAATCGCAATAAATTATCAATTGTGGGTCTGATTAAATACTCAATTCTACTGATTCTATTTATAAATTGCTGGCTATGTCAGAGGTCATCATTTGCTATTTATCAGCAATGTCTACTTGAATAATACTATGAGTCGGAAAGTTCCAAATATAAAAGTAAACGTAATAAAAGCATCAATAATTATTCAATTTTTCAGGCTCGAGATCTCAAACCAAGAGAATTAAGTGGAAATGCTGATCCTTATGCAAAAATACGATTATTACCAGATCGAAGCAATACATTGCAAACTAAAGTACACAAGCGAACTTTAAATCCTAGTAAGTAGTAATAAAAATTCTTGATAATTTTATTTTAGAGATGGTAAGGTTCTAGAATTTTTCTAATTTTTAAAAAATTTCGTTTTAGTTTTTGATGAAGAATTTACATTTGAAGTTTCAACACTTCTTGGCAATACATTAGAAGTCCTTCTATATGATTTTGAACCAGTATCTCAACATCGTGCACTGGGTTACGTCCATATACCTTTATCTTCTTATAACGAAACAAATCTTACTACTAATCCGTTAACATTAACGAGAATTGTCCGGAGATATGGAGCTGAAGGGAGTGTTTATCGAACAGATCCACTTGGAGAGCTGATGGTATCATTGTGTTATGACACAGCCACCAATAGATTGACAGTAATTGTTATAAGAGCTATCAATCTTTTTACTGATCGAGAGGAAGCTAAAGGATCTGATACTTATGTAAAGGTAATTATGAATTGAAAGATGATAAATGATTGATTTTAATGTGAAATCATTATTTTACAGGTAATAATTTTCAAAGATGGAAAAGCATTAAAGAAAAAACGGTCAGTTATCTGTCACGACGCTCAAAGTCCTGTCTGGAATGATGTTCTAGTATTCGATTTTGGAGATAGTGAAATTCTGCCTATGAGCACGATAGAATTTTCAGTAATAAGAACGAGTGGCCAAGTTTTAGCTCGATGTCAAGTTTCTCGCAAGTGTCAGAAAGATCTTTTCCAAAGAGTATTATCAGGGGTGGGTGCCTCAGTCCAATGGATTCCATTGGCCAGAGACATACCTGAAGCTGATTCTGTAGAAGCTTAGTAAAGTAGATGTATTGTAGATCAGTGACGTAAAGATATTGAAAAGATATTTTCACACCTTTCAACTGAAAAATGTAGGAATTGATGTCTGTTTTTGTTTTGCTTTGAATTTTAATCAAAGTTCTTTCAGTATTCTAGATATTTTACCAAAGAGTTTGCATTTATTAATTGTTGTTTTGTACGTTGTAACGCACATATATTTTCAAAGTTTATTTAAATATTAATTATTTTATTATGAAAATAATCAAAATAGAAATGATAGTAAATCTAATCATATAAATACCTCATTCACATGAAAGACTTATAAGGTTTCAATATTCATATAGTGAATAACAGTCAGATTATAAAGTACATCGGTGGAATTTTTCATTAATTGTAAGCGTAGCTTTTGATTGCAGAGTGGTTTTAACTTTACACAAATAACATTATTTTCATATCTTCACAATGGAATTAAATAAAATACTGCTTTTAAATTTACGTAAAAAAACGTTTTTTATTTTAATTTTTTTTACATAATTTACCGATGTTCATTTTTATTAATCGAAGAGACCTGTAACAAAAGTAAATAAGATATTAAAAACAAATGTAATATAACAATAATATAATGTTACTACTGAAAATATTTTGATATCATTTTAAAGCTACTCTACACAAATGAATTCAGTAGCTAATACATGTAATATGGATAATCATTTAAATTTAAAAATTAAATAAATCACAATTGGAATGAAAACATGAATAAAATATTAATATATATTTCACTTACCGAAGCCCATGTCCTCGTCACTCTCTTCTTCAGGTTCTTCCTTCTTTTTCTCTGCTTCTTTAGCAGGAGCTGCGTCTGAAGCAGCGGCGGCAGCAACGGGTGCTAGAAATGATCATTATTACACATTAATATATGTAATAAAATAATTTAAATTAAGAAAACTACAAATTTCATATTTAAAAAATTGTAGCAAGTAAGAAAATAAATCTATTTTATTTTAAACGAGATTTTATATTTCCTACTTTCATCAATTTCCTCATTTTTGCTGACCGTACCAGCTTTTGATAAACGCTGGTATAGTGGATGAAATGAGGTATGAAAATAATAATTATGACTTAAAATAATTAAAGTAATAGTTGAAAAAGCTATAATGACTTTTTGGTAAAGTGAAAAATCTTACCACCAGCTGCTGGAGCTGCTCCAACGCCAGATCCGATCTTGGTGATCAAATCTTTGATGTTGATACCTTCCAATGCTTTTGCAAAAAGTCCTGGCCAATAAGGCTCAACATCAACATTCGCTGCTTTGAGAATTGTTTGAATTTTCTCACCCTAATAAAATTAATATCAGATTTTTATTTATTGCCTTGTGATGTAAATAATACAGCATGAGTGAAACATTTTTTAGGTTACTCACAGTGACAGCTACATCATCATCAGCGAGGATGAGTGCGGAGTAAACGCAAGCAAGTTCTGCCTTTGTCGACATTTTATCTTTTATTTTTTTTTATAAATTAGAGTAGATGATTTAAATTCAATGTGCAAGTCGCCGATTACGGCTTTACCTTATACAAGAACAAGCACACGGGTCACCTACTTGGTCACAAAAGAAAGAAAAAAGAGGTTGGGATCGTCACATCGTCTGCCGGAAATTACAGCCGAGTTCAAATTGAATGATTTATTTTTTTCTTATCTACATTTTACGTCACTGAAACTATAGTACTCGAATCACTACGCATAAATGCCTTCACCAATGAGCTTGCGTTTTTAAAAAATATAGTACCAGACATAAATGCTGTGTGATTTTTTATAGGACGGTATAGGGAAATCACATGTATAACCTTTAAAAAATTGAATAGCATTTATGTCCGGTATAACGAATACTGTATCCTCATTTTTGCTATAATGGCTAGAGTTACATTCGTCCCAGTGACTACTTTTTAAAATGTATTCTTACGCTAGTGGGTTAATTCAAAAATCATGTTAAGAAAATATATAAATAAATGAAGTTTATTTGTAACACAAATAATGAAACATACAATGTGATACATTTAAAATATGAATTACTTCGAATAATAATGATTAAATTATTGATTGATATCCAAATAATTTGGTTTAAAATATTCATTTGTTATTTAAAGTTACAAGTTTTTGATTGTGAAATAATTGTTCATTGAATAAAAGTTTATTATTACTTTATATTCTAAAAATGTTATTTATTAAAAAAAAGTACATATTCAATAGAGATATTCAACTAAAATATTCAATATTCTAAATAATAATTTATAATCATTTAAATGATTATTTAATTTTGTAATCTCTAAGTTGTCAAACTTAGTGCATTAATGCTGGCAAGTAAACTATTTAAATCATCTTGAACTTGATCTTGAGTATTTGACAAAGAAATTCTTGAGCAAAATGAGCTAAGCTCTTCTATTTGTTCATTGGTATTATCTTTTTTTTTTAAATGAGTTACAAGCATATTTATAATCTTATGAATTTCTTCCTTCATCATCTTCATATCTGTTTCTCGGCAACTTCGTAGAAATTTAAGTTTTGATTCGGCTAGCGGTAATGGATTATTAGCGGTAAGTACATTAGATCCAGTTTCCAAAATTAATGTTACCATATCGTATTTACAATTAACTGCTGCCGAGTGTAATGGAGTGTTGCTGTTTAAATCAACTACATTGGGATTTGCACCATGATCTAGTAGAAGTTTTGCAATATCCGTATGACTCCTGAAAATAGTTGAAAATATTTGTTTAGATACATGTTTTTATTTTTGTGTTGGTGCTAGAACATTAAAAAAAAATATCTAACCATCAGAAATAGTATTAAATAATTATTAATAATAAATATTATTTAATTGGAAATTGTTTATTGGTTTCAGGATGTATTTACCTGCAAGCTGCCGAATGAAGAGAAGTTCGTGTTAAATCATCATTGATGTTTGGAGACATTCCTTTTTCTAATACTTCTTTCATTGAATCAAACTTATCAGCAATTACTGTTCGTCTTATTCGTCTTTCCAACATAAAATTATGATAACTACTATTATTTTTTTTTCGTAAACTCCTAGATTTAATCTTATTTTGTCTCAAAGATACTTCCTCCCTTACTGCTTTCTTAAAAAAATCTGAAATAAAAAAAGTTTTTATATTTATTCAAAAATTGATGATTCCATATATTCATCTATAATTTGATATGTAAATGTAATTATATAATACATTAAAAATGTAATTAGATTAACAGAGAAAAGATTATGTAGAATAATTTTGGCAACTAATATTATTAATTGATTTATGTAAGTGTTTATTTATTTATTTCAAAAGTTTATATTTACCTAGTCTTTCCAATGTGTTTGGAAAATATTCCAACTTAAAATTCGAGGGAATGTTAAAACGTAGCTCAGATGAATTAGAATCAGCTGTAGATACATTTTTTAATGATCGATGTGATGGATTTTCAAGTTGTGCACTATCATTGGAATCTTTTCCAGTCTCTACTCCTGAATTTGCGGATGCCATTTTCGCGTCTGTTTGTTTGTATCCGCGTTGTGTTATTATTGTTTTCTTCACTTTCTTTGTATCACTTCTGTATTGAAAAAAATTTTTTGCTGTTATCACTATACACGTTTAATACGTTTAAAATTTTTCACTATTACAACTATATATGTTTAATACGTTTTGTTTTCAGAACGAAATACTCTCAACTAACTTAAGTTCAACTACTCCGTTCCGCTACCGTAACAATACTGAGTTATATAGTTGAACCAAGAAAAGAGTATACCATATAGTCTCGATTTGGTGTCTAATGTCACGTCCCCATACAATTTTCTCAGGAGGCGGGGGATTAGACACAAAAATGGAGACTACTCTTTTCTTGATTCGACTATAGTTACGGTATATTCCTGTATTCACACTACTGTTTGGTTGTCAGAATATAGCAGAGAAGAGAGACGTGAATAGAAGTTCATTTCAAATGGGCTGATGTATTGCAAAAATGTAGTATGGGTTCTTATGGAGTCAGGTAGGAGTTTAACACGGTTGGGGGCCTGATGAGGTGATCCTTAAACAAAACACAGCATTGAACTTCTATGCGGGTCTATTATATTATTATATTTTCTTTGTCAGAACTAGTAAATGGCATATCGTTACAAGGGCTCTACAATAATTTTAAAATGACATAAAATTTCTTTCTATAATAAGAGTTGAATGTTAACTCTTTTTAATAATTATTTAGTTTTATAATGAGGAGGTCGTAATAAATAAATTACAGATTGTAGATTGCATGTCAATATATCGAACAAAGGTCGATTACAATATAATTAGACTCAATGTTTCACGCATATGATGATCTATTTCTCTGTAATAGTAATTTGTTGAGCTCTGACCATACATCCTTAATAAGGTATTATGTTTATCATATTTTTTATATTTTAAGGCTGGGCTCAAATCACAGAGCTGACTGATTCCCTTTATCTAAATAAATTGGATCATATGTTTCTAATTTCTCCGCAAATTTATGTTTTCACCTCAGAATTTTAGTCTCGTAAATGGTTGTTTGAATTTAATAAACAAATTTTCTTAGCGCAAGTAGGCTTTGTCAGAGAAAATTGACCTGCATAGAAGTTCAATGCTGTGTTTTGTTTAGGGATCACCTCAGGCCCTCAACCGTGTTAAACTCCTACCTGGCTCCATGAGAACCCATACTACATTTTTAGAATACATCGGCCCATTTGAAATAAACTTCTATTCACGTCTCTCTGGCTTTGTATCAGAGAAGAGAGACCACCATAAAAGTCCAATGCTGTGTTAAAAATCCGGACGGAGTTTCGGTCAACATGTCGGTATTTTGGGTCAACATGTCGGTAATCTCAGGTCACAACATAAAAGCTTCTGTGAACCCAACACATGATGGCGCTGCTCCGAATTATTTGAGCCACGCCTCTCAATCTAAGAGAGAGGAAAGACAAGATTTGTGTTCTCTTTTACTCTCATTGTGAATATCCCAATGTAGTTAAATTCTTAACACAAGCTCTCGTCCCTCAAATATGAAGAAAATCGAACTCAGATTAAGTGACTGTTTTTAAGCCACTCATTTGTAGAGAATTGAATTCTCTATCAAATGAAATATATTTTTTTTTTTTTAAATGCTTATAACAAAAAAAAAGCAAAATAAAATTAAATAACGAAACCAAAGAGAATTTAATCCTCGCTAATGAGTGGCTATATTTGCTTTCATAGTAGTTTTAAAAAATCATTTTCTTTAATATTAAAGAAGGATGAAAAATTGAATGAAGGACCCGCATTTATGCCAGTGGAACTTTTTTCTAAGTTCTCAATCCCCCGAATGTAAGGGAAATCGGACTCAGATTGAGTGACCGTTTTTATAGCCACTCATATGCAGAGAATTAAATTCTCTGTTAAATAAAATGTATTTTTTTTCATTTTGTTTATAACAAAAAAAAGCAAAATTAAATTAAATTACAAAAACAAAGAGAATTTAATCTTTAGGTAATGAGTGGCTATACCAATTATAAAAAAACTCTTATGATAACTTTTTTTTTAATATAAAAGGGGGTTAAAAAATTAAATGAAGGACTTTTTTTTGTTATAAACATTTTTTTAAAAAAGAAACAAAAAATATAGTTTATTAAACAGAGAATTCAATTTCCTACAAATGAGTGGCTATGAAAACAGCCATTTGATTTTTCATGCCTCTTTTATTTTGAAAAAAATGATTTTATAAAATTACTATGATAACAAATACAACCACTCATTAGCGAGGATTAAATTCTCTTTGTTTTTGTAATTTAATTTTATTTTGCTTTTTTTTTGTTATAAACAATAAAAAAAAAATTTGAAAAAAAATATATCTTGTTTGATAGAGAATTCAATTCTCTACAAATGAGTGGCTATAAAAACGGTTACTCAATCTAAGTCTGATTTTCCTTACATTCGGGGGTTTGAGAACTCGGAAAAAGTTTTTTTCTATCGAAGAGAAAATATTTCCATCATTTCTATGTTTTTTTTTTACAATTTCGCTTTAAGCCTTATATCATATGATCTCTGGGCTGCGGAAATTGCTTCCTCTGGTTTTCTTCGTTCCCTACTACCGGAGAACCAAACAAAGCTCCACCCTTCATATTATCTCTTTTTTTTTTTTAATGAGTAAATAAGGAGATAGATGGCGCTAGGCTGTATTGCCCATTCCGCCATTCATATTATCTCGGCCAGATGCCGGGTTAGCATGCCATCTTGCGGTTACGTTCGTAAATGCTGACTGCATTTTTTACCTCCCATAAGGACTGGACTTCTATACTGGTCTCTCTTCTCTGCTTTGTGTACTTAATTTCGGTAAACAGTGTACTTGCCGGAAGTAAGAGAGATGGCCAGTGTAAAAAAAACTATATTATCGACAGAAGTAAACTTAGTAATCTTGTCATGTTAATTTTTTACTTAAGGTAAACAAAATATTCACGAAACTACAATAATTAATATTTTCGATACAAATTAACATTATCTTAGTATTGAGTAATTAAAAATTTACAGCCTAGTTAACGTAATTGCGATTTAACAGTATACCCTAAACTTCAATTCGATATAAAATGTACTTGCATCAAATAATAATACTCAGATTAAAGTAATATTGTAAATTTGCCGCTAGTATACTTTCTAGCTACCACATTGTGGAAAGCACAGGTTATATCTATATCTGTGAATGTATATTTTATTAATTCTTTTCTTGTGGCGCGACATGCACGAAGATCGATCAGTGTGTTCATTTACAACATTTCCAAGTGAGTGTTCGTCGGAGCGATAAGAGTGCACGGTAGTTTTGTCCATGAAAATGCAGTTTTTTTAAAAAGTTTTAGGTACAATTATGATTATTTATTAAGTGATAATGCATTGGCAGATCTAGTATGTGTTTAAATTTAAATTAACAATGACATTTAGTGTTATTTTTACATTAAGTTTTGTTATGTAGTTGCTGCTTGTGAAGAGGCGGCGAATCGCGCGGCAGTCGCGTGCTAGGAGATTACTACCAAGTACGGGGGCGATAGAAATGGCGCGCAAATGTTGCGTGAGAAATTGCGAGTTAGATGGCCATGAAGTGCGTGCAGCAGGATTGCCACTTCATCGACTTCCCAAAGATCCTATTTTAAGAAGCAAGTGGTTAGAGAATGGTGGCTTCGAGCCGGATTTTAAGCCGATACCCGGCCAATTTATTTGTCATAGGCACTTTCGAAGAGCTGATTACGAAAAAGTAAAAGGAACTAAACATAAATTTCATCTCAAGAAAGGTTCAGTTCCTTCCATTTTCGACAATTACAACGACCATCCCGGTATGTTGACCCGGTTTATGTATGATACCATTTTGTATGATGTTTTTACTCGTTCAATCGTCTTTTATCATACTGACAATACATTATTTAACCTGTGTTTCAACACATTTCGACATATGGGTCGTCTTAGGCTTAAAGCAAACACATGACTATTATTCTCCATAAAGTATAGCTGTTTTCGACGTAACGTTACGAATACGCACATGTACACATACAGCGTAGTTACGTGCATACCCTTACATTCTTAGAACACGATGATCTCACTGTGTAACTCTTCAATAGTGTGGTTTATTTAAAGTTTGTTTACGGAGTATTTAATTAGTTGTCGATTTCACTTTTACGTTTAATTAACAATGTCGGCTTTTTCAAAATCTTCATTAAATTGGGTCCATTTTAATTTTAAGTAATTACAAATTTTTTTATAATAATATCTAAGAATTGCTCTTATTTGTTTTTTTTTATTACAGATCCTGTAATTATGCCCATAAAGATGTCTGCAGTTTCTTATCCACAGGAAGATCTGGATCTTATTAAATCTAAAATTACGGATGCTGATAATGATTCTAATACAACCACTGAAGATATTAAGTGTGAATTTGATTCAGAAACGTTTGATTCAAGTGTTAATTCGTCGACCAATGACTGCATTGATTCATCGGAAGTAGTAGAAAGTGTGCAAAATGACAATATCAATCACAACAATTGTGATAGTAACAATGGCACTGAGAATAGTTTAAACAATGATACAACACTTGAAGAAAGTCAAGATAAAGGTGCAGAAAATGATGATGTTAATCATTCTTCGCCACCTGTAGCATCAAGTAATTTAGTTAATAATAAAAAAAATATTGAAAATGGCAATGCTTTAGTGACAGCTAAAAGTTTGGATAAAAAAGTTACATCTCCTGATGGAAGTGGTTCAACAAAAGTTGTTAATAAAAGTGGACTTAAATTCTATCCTGGTGCCAGATTAGAAGCTAAAGATTTTAATGAAAAATGGTAAATAATGTTACGTATTTTTTATAAAAAATTACAGTCATTGAATAGATAGAAAATAACTTTGACTGTTTGTGTGCAATAGGTATGCAGCTCGAATTGTTGAAACTGACTGGGTTGAACGGGAAGTGTTAATACATTTTGATAAGTGGAGTTCAAGATTCGATGAATGGATACCAATGGACAGTTCAAGATTAAGAGTACTACAACTTTCAAAATCTAGGTATGTCTTCTTCAAGATATACAATAATTTTGTGAGTTATATTTAATTAACAATCAGGGCTTTTAACGATTTACTGGGAAATAATGCATAAAATTTATAATGCTTCTAAAAAAAAATAACTAATTTATACAGTCCACTTTGCTAAAAATAAATATAACGTCAATTTAGTATAACGAACTGTCATCATCAAGAGTAGACGTTTTTAAATATTGTTTTTATTTTTTAACACATTCCCGCCAAAACCGATGAGCGTGTTTTGATAAATTTGAATAGACACACACATTTTCACAAAGCGTTCCAGGTATCTGTTACTTGGAAATTTATTGATCTTATAGAGTTTATAGCTTGGAAAAAGGTCGAGTATGCTGCGTAGTATTGACGTTGGCGGGAAAGTGTTAACTAATTTTCATCATTAATAAGAATGTAAATGAACATATTCATGAACAATATTTTTTTGTCTTTGCAATAAGTGAACAAACGTGGACACCACCATCACAGTAAGTTCTTACAAAGACTATTTTGTTTAATTTTATGTACAAAAGTTGGGTTAAATTATGTGAAATAGTTTGTTGTCAGTTTCTTTCGCTTAACCTTGACACGCAATGAGTGAATGTTGCATATGTAAATAAGATGTTATTTTTTATTTAATTATGGAAAAAACTTTGGTATTTGTAGAATCTTGGACTGTCATATATTATAGAATCCTATTTTTTATGAATGTTTACATCTTTGATAATGTTAGTGTAGATTTGTTTGTTTACATTTTGAGGTTATTTCTACTATTAGTCAGGATACGCTGCGATTTTCTTTTTTTTCTTCAATAAATTAATTATGGGATTATAACCGAATTTTACGAAATGTCATAAACATCAACAATATCAAGTAATGTATAATTTAAAAATTTGGAGTAAACAAATGAAAGCATCATTACAACGAATTTATTCTAGTATCAATTTATTTTTTCTTGAGAATTAGTGCTTAGCGAGGAATTAAAATAAAAAAAATTATAAAAAACAGTCAAAAGTTCATCAAAAAATTAAAAAATTAAATATTTTCTTTCTCAAAATAAAAGAATATATAGAAAATTTCAATTAAAGATATACTAGTTTAGAGGTTAGTGAATAATAGATTGCTTTATAAAATTAATTAAATATGAATTTTTACACATTTTTCCATACATCAATTACTTTATTAATTTCACATTAAAGAACTTCATTATTATATGTATAAATGTTCATGTTGATTTAAAAAAGTTTTATAATAGTGTTTATATAATTTTACTTATAATTATATAAACTAGTGTTCATAGACTATATTTCTAATTTTTTTTTTAATTTCTTATGAAAAAAAAATAATTGAATTATCACCCAAATTTCAACTCTTTTCTATTGCTTTAATTATTTTTTATAAAAATTCTTATATTGCACCCACATCTTAGTCAATAGGTAGAACACTTGATCTTTAAGTCACCAATTTTTGTAAAAAATATATCTAAGTTTTTCTAATCATTTTCTATGACGTATACAGTGATTCAAAAATGCGTGAATTCTCTGTGGGGGAGAGGATCCTTGCTACCTGGGCTGATGGAAGAAAATATCCAGCCAAAGTGAATGCAGTGTTGGGAAATGGTGAGTGTAACTTAACTTTATGTAAAAAACAATACACACGTATGAATATATTGTGGTAACATGTTCATTAAATTCGCGGTTTATTGAGGATCTACTTATACAAGTTACTTATACATATATCCTCAGTGGCTTACAGCATACTATGTATGTGTATAATACGTTGCACTTACTTGACGTTTTCTCTTCTATTTAAGTCAACGTATCTACATCAACTAAAATCATATATTGTCATTTTCTCTTATACAGATAGGTATGATGTGCTTTTCGATGATGGATATGGAAAAATTGTGCGTTCATCAAAGATGTCGAAGATAGCAGCTACAACGAAAAAAGTAAGCTTTCCTCCAGTGAGGTTATGTTATTGTCATTTTTCTCAGTTGTATGTCTTCATCATAAATGTATCCATTTCATATAAAAAATTCAACCAATATAACGGTGAATAAAATTCAAGATAAATATTGAAGTATTGTTTTACGTAAACAGAGATGAAATCCATTTTGATAAAAATACTCACCCATAGAGTACTTGAAAAATATCAATTTTTTATATCTGTTGAATGTAATTATGAGTTGATGTTTTCCTAGATGAAATATGTAATAGTAAAAATGGATTAAAATAGGTTACAGAAAAATCCATGGAGAAAGAGTCTTACATAGGAAGCAAACAAGAAAGAAGAGACAAAAAAAGAAAACATACAGTAATGGAATTATTTCAACATAAAAGAAGAGCAAAAGCTGATGGTGAAAAAATGAAGAAAGAGGAAAATAGTAATAGTGATGGAACCGAGCATGTTAATACTGAAAATACTGACAATCATGAAGCTAATAACAGTTTATCTTCTGAAGCATATGGTGGCGATGATTCAGGTATGAAAATATTTATTAAAATCAATAATTTTACATTTAAAACTTTTTATTAATAATTAAAATAATGAAAATTTAGGTCCAGAATGGGTTGATGGAGAACCAAAAGGTACAGAATCATTTGTTGTTGATGGCAATGACGGAATAAGACGTTCTATAATAATCCAAGACAAAAAATTATCGCCAGAATGGCAGAAACACTTTATTCAAAGGAAGACCGGTAATTCCGCTGGCAAGTGGGATGTTGTTTTTCTTCATAAAATAACAGGAAGAAAATTCCGTACACGAAATGATCTTAAAGTTTTCTTTGAAAGTCAAGGTCAGCCGGATTTTGATCTTGAATCATTTGACTTCTGTGTTCATCGCAGAAAGAAGTCGAAACAAAAATTAAAGGCAGAAACATCAGGAGAAGCTCAAAAAAAGATTAAAACGATTCTACCAAAAAATAAAATGACTTCAGCTACCGAGAATTTATTGTTAATTCCAACATCAGTCTGTCCTGTTCCTGTAACATCTACGAGTACTCCAGCTCCTGAAGACAATGGTAAATATTAGTTATTAGATAATTTTAAACTTCATGTAGACATTTTTCAAACCATTTTTTAATTTCATTTCATCCATTGTTTTACCGCTAACATTGGTAGGAACCATTTATTGTAAGTTTATTTATCATTGATTTAATTAGTTGGTAAATATTACTGATAAAAATAAAATTATTTTTATTCACAGCGGTTTTCATTGGTGGATTGCGTGTCGAAATGGAGGACAGTGCTTATAAATGCCCTAAGGAAGGATGTAATAAAACCTTTCGTAAAGAAAATCTTTTACAAATGCACATAAAACATTACCATCCAGAGTTCTCCAAATATTTGGGATCAACCCCGAATGTCGCAGATTTAGCCTACGCTCGTACTATTGGAGAGCCAGTGTTGGATGTCACTCCAAGAAAATCAATAAACAGTCATGCAGAAAAGATAACGAAATTTGACAAAAAGAAAATGGGACAAGATAAAAGTTTATCTTCACAACTGACTAATTCAGCCGTTAATACCGCTGATGGGTCTTCTCCTTTGTCATCTGGTGTTAATGTTGATACGCATACAGCAGATCAGATAAGTGGATTGAAAGAGGAAACCAAGTTTGATATTGGATCAGTAGATTCTAATGTTAGTTTAGATGGTGATGATGAAATTGGCAGAAAATCTGAAAGCCTCTCCGCTATGTCACCTGGATCTCTATTTGATCTAAAAATAAAAGAAGAAAAAACTCAAACTGGAATTAAAACTTTACTTCCTTTGAGATCAGCTTCTTCGACAGATTCACAGAAAACACTTGATAAATTGAAATCTATCGATGATGCATTACGATCAGAAAAAAGTAAAGGCCAACGAAAACGTCAGTTGTCGGAATATAGTTCTGATACTTCAGTTAAAAGCAAAAGAAGACATGGTAAATTCATTGGTTATATCTATCATACGGATTACTAACATTAAATTTTAATTAGAAAATTATTCTGAGTCAATCATTCTGAGCAATTTAGCTTTACATCAATTTATATTTATTATTATTTTTGCCAATAATTCATTCTTATTCCGATATTGTATTATATAAGATTTATTCACGTTATGTCACACGAAATATTCGGAATGTAGGTCAAAGATTTAAATTAAATACCGTATCTTTAGATTTTTGTTTTATTACAATTGAAAATAAATTCCAATTTATCTTAATAATAATATATCTCAAATCTTAACAATAGATTACGTCATTTGGTTAACAATAATCAGAATACTGCTTTGTTATAATAAAAAATCAATTTATATATTGTTTGAAGCAAAAAAAAATGAGCTATAATCCTTTAGTTAAAAGAATAGTTTATGAAAGATTTGAAGGTTTTATTTTCATTTTTGTCTTCATTTACATAATTTCGTCAATAAATTTATTATTTATTCATTATTATAGGCGTGAAAGAAGTAGATGATTATGCAGATCTAGATGACAGTACTATGGATACTGAAGAACCTGTCACTTATGTATACAGGTTCAGTCGTCGAAAGAGCGATGAAAACAGTCAGAGTGGTAGGTTTTTTTTTTGATAAATGAGCTTACGTCACTTTGCTCTTTATTTATGAATTATGTTTGCTGTTCTTAAACTTGTAGTTTATTTACCAAGACCATTATTATTATTTATATTATTCTATAGGTCAATTAAATGATACATTTTCTGGAAAAAGTGGTACTTCGAAGATCAAAGATGCTAGCATTGATCACGAAGGTACATTTTTATTGTGATACGCCAAAATAGACCGAAGTTTTAATATAAATTATATTCTGTTTCAAAACTGAAACCACTCGTGCCTTAGAAAATATGGATCATTTTTTATTTAATACTTGATAAAATTAAATATATTTTGAATTAACAGATGGAGAAGGTGTTATGATGGTGATAAATGGTGAACTGGTGAAGGTAGAACAATTACGGCGTGAAGAAATAATAAATTGTACCTGTGGTTTTATGGAAGAAGATGGACTCATGATTCAATGTGATTTATGTCTCTGTTGGCAACATGGTCATTGTAACGCCATTGAAAGAGAGAAAGATGTTCCTGAAAAATACATTTGTTATATTTGTCGACATCCATTTCGCCAAAGGTCATCTAAAAAATATACACATGATCAGGATTGGATTAAAGAAGGCAAATTACAAAGGTATCTTTACATTTTAGCTATTATTGGTTTTTCAGTCAATTACTATTTATTACAATAAATATTTTTAGCTTGTCAAAACGTACTAAAAATCAAGCTGCTATAAATAAACGAATGGCAATGCTGAAAAGATCATATGACTTAGTAGGTGCATTACTCGAAATTCGTCAAATCCTTCACAGTTTGCGAGTCAAGATAAATGTAGCACAGTAAGTATTTTTAATGATATTTTTAGTTCTACAAAATACTGGAGAAAGCTTTGTTTATGACACTTTAATGTAGTTTTAAATCGATTTTTTAATTTATTCAAGAGTCTGATACACAGTTTAAAATAAAGTAATTTATATCTTTTCTGCAAATAATTTATTAGTATGATTTAAGTTAAAGCCAACATTTTGTTTACGCTACATTATGAGTTAATAACATGGTCATAAAATACTGAGGGAGTTGATTTAATTTCCAGGAAAAAAGACCACCCGAAACTCTATTTATGGGCGAAGCATTGGGAAAAATCGGAAATACCCGAACCTCAGAAAGAACCTGTATCAGTAATGGAGGTTGTGAAATTAGAGCCCAAGCAGGAAGAGTCTAAGACCGATGTTTATGTTGGCTCGAACTCTGAAATGTCTATAGAAAAGAAGGAAATGACTGAAGGAGATTCAATCAATTCAGACACAGAATTGATGAAGATTTTAGAAGAAGACAACACAATTATAGATGAATCAAAGAATGTCAAAAAAGATACTGAAGAGACAGATACCGAGAATGATAAAACTTTAGAAGAAACTTCAGCAAAGTCTGTTTCTGAACAAGAGAATACTATTAAATCTGAATCTACCAGTGAAACTGATAAAGATGTAACTGAACCAGAAAGTGATGGAACATTACAAACGGAATCTAATGATGTAGCTGAAAAAAATGAAGATGAACAGTATATTAAAGAAGAATTAAAATCACCTTCGCAAGAACCATCAGTGCCTTTACAACCTGTTATTCCAGAGCCGGAGGCTCCTATTGATCCAGCTGAATGTCGTTTACGATTATTAGAACACATTGAGCACTTTCAGAATCATATTGACTCCCGTTTAACGACTATCGAAGCTCAAGTTAGTGCTTTAGAAGCTATGGATCCGGACGATGCTGCATCGTTTTATGCTGTTGAGCCTCGAACGAAAGAAACAATTCAAATGTTACTTCGAGATCTCAGTACAATAAGAAAACTTGCTTCTTTGTGTTGAGTTAATGATAGGACTTAAAAATCAATAATTATTTTCAATAATACCATTCATTTAGAATTATATAAATATATATTTGTATATTCTTTATTACTTAGATATTTTCAACTTAGTATTTATAAGTTAAATCTAGGTAAAAGAAAACGTGAATTATTTCGTCTTTTGATATATGATTCAATCATCATAATTATAAACATATTCTTCTGTAAATTTAATATTGCCTTTTTAATAACTCAGGTTAAGGTAGTCTGATACGTAATGTAAATATAAATTACAAAAAGACTTTTGGGGATTTTTAGATTTATGTTGAATTGTAGTCCCGATTAAATCGAAACACTTTTTATTGGATGTCAATTTAAATTTATTTTTTAGTCATTTTTTAAACTAACATTTATAATTCTCATTTTAAAGAAATATTCAAAAAAAATTTGCAAAATAAAATGATGAAAAAAATCTAAATATATTTAAGCTTGGATATTTATAATTTTTTTACATAGGTAAAAACTCATCTCATGTTGTTATATGATTAAAAAATATTTACAATTTTATTGTACTATAAATAAGTATTAAGTCAACATTGTAAAATTGTTTGGAGATGAAGCTGAGTTTTAAAGTCATATGAGGAACTATGTTAACTATAATCCACATAAATAAGTACTATAAATAACAAGGCATAATTTCAATAATTATGTAATAGAAATTTCGTATCTATGTACATAAGCTGAACTATCAGGTTCATTAATAAATGAAAAAAAATTTTGCTTAATTTTTCTAAGTTGAAAATAAATTGTAAATTGCACTTATATGCGTTTAATTATATTCATTTTTTAGAATAATATTCATCTGCAATAATTTTTCGGGGTTTTCGAGAAACATTTTTTACGTCAAATACCTTGCTAGCGATATCATCTATCCAGACTGATTTATTACCTTAATCCTTTGTTATTGTTTCGTATCTTCGTTTCTCTTTCGTAACCTAGTATAGTTCGTGGAAAATTTTTTATATGTACACTAAAATGTCTTACTATGGTCTCGACTTCAAGTTTATTTTCTGTCTAGTGGTCTAGATAAATTCGTAGAAATAACTCCAAATTTCATGGAACTTTATAAAATGAGTAATCTATTCCTTCTCAATATTTTGACTTCTATTAATTTTAAATGTTTGTTTAATTAATTTTAATTTTAAAAGTATTAGTCATAAAAATGTGGCAAGTTTTCTTATGTTTTATTTTGTTAAAAAAGAACCAAGCTTTAATCTGCTATTCATTATTCCATTATATTAATTATAGATAAGTAAAATCTATATCCAGCCTACTTTTAAAGACATCATGGTATAAATTTGTCTGACTTTTCTCACTGATAATATATTAATTATCAAGCATGCTATGAGCTTGGTTTACCTTCTACCATTTCTAATTTAACCTGCCACCCCCTCGATTATCGATCTGCTTCAGTTTCTACGGTAAACTTGGATACGATTTGACGGGGTAAATTACTTTTATCTATAAAAATACCTTGTAGATATGTATTTTTATATTACATATGTAGTATACAGGTGTTATAAGATATATCTTATATCGCATAAATATTGCAATTCTACGTATTCGTAAAGTTGAACAACCGGTAAAAAATGATGTAAACAAAATGTATATTTTAGAACCAGTGACTCATTTAGAAATGCAGACATTGATGATGCACGATCTTTCACACCCATATTATCTCTTATACCAGTCTTTCAGGCAATTTTTTTGTAAATAATTGTTGCATTTATGTGATTTTATTTCACACAAATTTTATAAACATGACTTTTCTATTGCAAAATTAAATAAATAAACACGACTTTTTTCACTTAATAGATTTGATCATGAAAGTAGTTTTTGAAATTTATGAATGCAAGTTAGGACGCCTTGAATTGTTTAAGACTTGAATACAACGATGCATTTTTATGAGCTTTTATTTTACAAATACTACATACATTATGAAGAAAAAAGAAACCTTTATGTAAATATTTGTTTCTTTATTTCTTTTTTTATTTAATTCATGATTAGTAATGATTATTATTCTTAAACAAGTTGTTGAACATTTTGATGGTTGTCATTACATAGTGATTTCTTTCTCGTACAAAATCCATAAAACTAACTAAATCGACGTGAATTGAATTTTATTGTTATTATCTAAACGTGACGTCAAGTTATCTAGCTTACAACTAAACTTAGAGTAAATCTAGGAATAAATTTAGTTAGATTTTTAATTTAGTAGATTTAACTATTTTAGTTTACAAAAAGTTATCTTTAGTAGTAAGAAGTTGATGTGAGTTCGAAATAATTGTTTGGATAAGTAGTAAAGTCTAGAAACAGTCAGGCATGAGAGTATGTAATTAAATTGTCAGAGTTATTTTAATCCATTTATAAAGCAAATGGAACTGTTCCTGAAATGGTTTAATTAAATTGTAACATATTAATTAACTGTTTCACTATTTATTTAAATCCATATAAATAAATATTTTACTTTGATAAAAGTAGATTAAGAAAATTAAGTACGTAAATGATTTTCCGTTATAGATAACTATTTTATTTCAAAAATTTTTTTTTGTTACTAAACTGTTATTGAAAATTGTTTTTCTATTATATTCTCTTGTCCAGAGGTAATTTGTAGTCGTTACCAAAAATTCAATAATCATTTTGTTCCATCAAATTTAAGAGAATGTGTACTAAAATCGGTGAAACTTCTAGAGTATTCTAAAAAAAAAAATTCTATTTCAAAAGCTAAAGAGCTGAAGTATGAAAGAAAAAAGGTCTTAAGACCTTTCCTTCTCATTTGATGTGAACGGATCAAAACTGACCTTCTTCTACATTGAGAAGTTTTTCAAATAAAGTAGATAATCAAAAATCGATAAAAAAAAATATTATTAAACCAATCGATATAAAATTTAATTGGAAATTGTGACCTCAAATGCTTTGGACAGAGCAAAAAATCATTTATACACACATTCAATATTATTTGTAATCTATAAACAGTTAAACTATTGAACTTTGACATTTCTTTTATATGACGTCGATGGCCCTAAATGAACCATTGAAGCATACTAAACGAGCAAAAAGGTAATTACGGTCAACATAATAAGCTCATAAAGATAAAAAAGTTTTATTGATGCAAGATGAATGTGTAAATTTTAAAGCCTTTTTCGAATGTCATTAAAAAGCTAATTAATGCTGAAAGTAGGATATGGAGTTGAAATTGCTATAGAAACTGTGTGTTTGTAAATACAAGAGATCCTCTTTGACGTAAACCCCTGAAGCATCAGTTTCACTGGTATGTATCAAAGTATCATTCTCGTTTACTCCTTCTCTTTATTCCTCTGTTAAAGTTGTGTCGTTAAATTGTTGTTATATGTAATCTTGATAGTGTAAATTATAATCTACAAAGCTAACAAATATTTCGCTGGTTGAGAAAAGGGTAAGATAACAGGTACAAATGGATGGAGATTATTTTTGAATTAATGGGAGGACAGAAGATTTATTAAATTTTTAGATGAAATATTTTCAGAATTTGACTCTTTAGTAATTTAATTTAGTTTTCATTTGCATCATTTATTTTTAAAACTAAATTTAATAAGAAAATTTTAAAAAATATTCAAAAGTTTAAATTTAAAAACATGAATAAAATTGAAAGTTCTAGATTATTTATAGCATATAAATTGTTTTTAAATTTTATTTAAAAATGTCAGAATTTAATTTCTTTCCAGTTTTAATGAGCAGACAACTTTGAAAAATTTTTATCAACTTTAGCTGACTTTAATTTTAATTTATCATATCTTTTAGCCATAAATGTTGTTGAAATTATTTTGCTTTTTCATTTTATCTTTGAAATTTACATCAGCCTGTAAAATTAATTTGTACAAAGTACTTTGAAAAATAATTGCTGACTTATCCCAAGGAAAGCTAGAATGTACATTTAACTTGATATTTTTAAATGTGTCATATATAATTATCTGCAATGCATTTTTGTTGCCAGCTAGAGTGCTAGACATATCTGATGATAAGCAGAGAAAACTGAGTGAAATAGTAATATTAGTATGTAGAATGAACTTACAACTAAACATCTATCTTGCTGTGTAATTTTTTTTCATAGATATTTTTCTTAGACATCAAATATGATAAATTCCCTTTGGTTACATACGAATAAACTTTCTTATCCATAGCCCATGGTAACGATATTTCAGAGTAATAAATAATTTTTTAACATACGAGATGATGATAAATTCACTCAAAAAGTCACATCAATTTAAATTTTTTTCATAGTTAGATTTGGCTTTCAATTTTATCTAAATAATGATGTTCCTTTTTTTAAATATTTCCTGAATCTTCATATCCTAGATAAATGTAACATCATTTTTATATAATACATGAATACAGTTTACGGATGGAAGAAAAAAAAATACCTTACAAAATATAAAACCAATTCTATGCTAAAAATAATTGTTTAAAAAAAAGTCGTTTTGAATTAATAAATTAAATTATCAGTTTAAAGGATCTTTTACGATAATAAAAAATTGTAATTCTCCAGTCAAATTGAATGATATTAAATTAAAGGTACGTCAATTTGCCCACTTTAGGATTAGTACTGTCCTGGGAGGTTAAATTATTTCCTGAAAATTTTAAAAATAGAACACATAAATAATAAACTTCCAACTTTCCATGAAAAATAGTCTTGAAAAATGCAATAAATACCACAAAAAATATTACACTTCACGACAGAAACCCCAAACATAAATCGACTGATAAATAAATTTAAGATTTTCTGTTACTTAGATTAACTACCTTCATGAATTATTACATCAACTGGTTAAAATTACAACTATGACTGGAGCAAACTGCTGTTCCAAAACAGTCATAAATGATTCTGTGTACGTTAAAAAATGAATATCAAAAGCAAAAGAAATGTTTTGTTGTTCTAAATGCACTTGATATACTAATATACTTTCAGATAGTAGTCCTGACCTATTCCAACAGACCTACATCCGTAGGCAAACCACACAGGACGTAGTTAATTTAGATGTCAATTCCGACCAAACGTTGTCGAACGCCAAGAATAGGTTTTTACATGATATTAACTGACTTAAAATTAACAATAAAAAATAAAATACTCATCCCATAAGGTGGGCTTAAGTATAACCGGAAATGGGGGAAGTTTGGATAATTGTTATAACAGCCTTGATTGATATTTAAATGCACCGCATTTTTGCATAAAATATGAACCATTCTGTTGTAATATAACAACATGTGTTGTGTCTTGCCATTATTTTTATTGTTGTTCATATGATTATTACTTTTATCATGGCTTTTTATATAATGTATTACATAATTATAGTACGCAGTTTATGATAAATTTAATCGACAGTGTTTCAGTTCATTCCATCTGTCGATATGTATTACGTTGAAAAAATTATCACAAGTTTTCAAGCCATGAGCATTCAGAAATAAAAGTGGTTATTATTATATAGGGAGTGTAATCATTGAATGAAGTGTAGCTTTGTAATAAAAAAAAATGTTCACGTAAAGTATCATATAAAAGAACCATATAAAAGTCTTCACGAGGTTCTATTCATGCAATATTCATGTGGGGTTTGAACATTATCAACTTCATGTAGAATTATTTGATATTACACTCAATGATATAATGTGGTATGTTATGGTGTTGCTGAATAAAGTCAAAATTAAAAATCATATCTCTGTTCTTTTGCAATAAGATACAGATGTTCTTACATTATTTTATTCAGAATATAGTTGAATCATTTTTAATTATCTACAACTTATCATAAATTTATTCATTAATACTGTTTTATAAATAAGCAATAATTTTTTTTAATATTAAAAAAATACTTTTGTACTTGAAAAATACAATATGTACCTCTCAGTTTTTATTCAAGAGGTATTTTTAATAATTTTGATTTAGCAAAGGTTTGAGAAAATGACATTTTATTTGAAAAATACTGATAGATTTACATTGTTTAATTACTGGTTTTCCTTGTAATAATCGTTTTTTTTTTGTAAGAAAGTATTACAATATTCTTCTTAGTCTATAAATTACACATTTTACCATTACAGATTCACAATTCATTTATCTTTATCCAATTCAATTATGAAGGCAATAAAAAATGATGATTTCAATATATACACGTGTTGATTCTAGAAATAACGGTACTCCAAATTTACATACTTAATTAAAATATGCAATCAACAGAATTCAATAGCATGAAATCATTTAATTTCTACTAACAACATAGCTAATAAAAATTATCTGCTTAAATAGGTCACAAATTAAAAGGAATGATTCAAAAGATCAAGAATGCTTTATATCTTAATAACATATTTTCAGAATATTTATATTGTGTTACTAGTTTTATCTATCATTGCTAAATAAATATTACTTCTATCTAAGTAAGCATCAAGTACATAAAATTATTTAAATATGGATATAATTTAGCATAAATTATTCTTTCCATTGAAGTCAAAGTGAAGTCAAGCATCACAAAAACACAACTTCAATCTTTGCTTCAGATCTACTCAATAACAGAACAAGAAACCAGACAGTCAATGGAGTCCTTCATTTCCATTTTATTCTACTGCTGAAATTCTAGGTTGTTTGACCTCAATCAAATTGGATTAAAGTGCTTTTAAAGGTCTATAATATTATTATCAATACTTGTGTAGATTATATGTAGCTTAATCTACCAGGAAAAGATTGTATCTGTTGATCATAAATTTTCCAATTGAACGTATTGTTCAACACCTGACTAATTCTTTGTCTAAAAGGCCACTGACTTATCAGAAATCTTGGATCGCAATATGGTATACCAAAATGTTGAGCACCACTGGATGAAAGATTTAACGCCTGGAGGTTCTGCATGCATGAAAAGGTCCAGCTAAACTTGTTTTTATTTTCTATGTTACGGATTTCGGTTTTCTAAAGCTTAATAAGTACCACTCACTTCAGAAAAGTAGGTTGATAATTACCAGTCAACTGAACTATATAACTGAAAATAATTCAGTCATTTTTTCAGTCATTGAATTTTTATGCAAAATCTTTGTTATCTGATCCAACAACTTTTGTTATCTATTTTATTGTTACTGGTGAAATGATGTAATATTTTTTTAAATATTTAGCATGGTTACAAACAATAGTGAGCTGGAACAATTGAACAAATTAATTGATAACAATGGAGATAGGATCAGTAAAACAGGTTGGTGAAGTTTGATAAAGGTAACTCTTATAGTCCATAGCTAACTCATATTTTTGACCATGTATTTAAAAAAAATAATAATAATAAACGATTTGAATTTATAATAATTTTTTTTTTATCAATACTTCAAATGAAGGACATAACACTTCTGTTCTCAAGGCTTCATATAATCCCAAGCAATTCTAATAAAGTTATCTTTTATTTTGATATTAAACAAAAACTCATTTCTAAAAGTTCAAATAAATAATTGCTAAAATAATTCTACAACTATTTTGACAAAGAACAGACGACATGAAAATAATATTTATAACTAATTCCTCGAATTTCCTTAATTAGAAAATTTTCTTCGAAAAGAAGAACTCCAGATCCAACCTTATGTACAGAGTCTATTATTTTTCGCTTATGAGTAACTTATATAAGTTTTGACTAACTCTATAAATATATGACTTTCGGAACTCTTTCTTGTCGCATCATTTTATTTTAGTAAAACAACTCTGATGACATTTTTATTGACCTCGCTGTGAGATGTAATATCCCAAGCTTGACATTATTGAAGTAAATCTTTATAATTTGGCATATATATGTACATCTGCTCATGCACTATGTCTATTCACATATGTATGAGACTGGCTATTCGTTTTTAAAATTCATCATACCATAATAGAGATATCAAAGTCATACCCCAAATATTCTCTGTCATGACCTTACTGATAATTATCTCATGTCAATATGTAATATGTCCACACGAAAAAAGGAGTATTATCTTGTCGCACATCTTAAAACGGTACATATGTAAATAAATAATAATTTTAAAATGACTCAATTTGAAGAAAAAGAAGCTACTGTTGGATGGTTCTTCAAATATAATATTCGTCATCGACAGACTGTTATGTAGTCAAGCATATTATCATGTTATATGTTTATTGGTAAACTGCAATGACTTTTGAGTCATTTATATAAACAGTTTAATGACTCGTGAGCCAAAAAGTGCAAATGGAATGAACACAAACGTTAAATCACTCTTGAGAGCAACAGACATACACATGTACAAGTGATAAGGACATTTTGATAAATTTAAATATAAAAATGTGTATGGAGATTAGATTAGACAATGAATATTGAGACAAACAAGAGAAGAGACGATGCTATCCTTACTTCGAAGCAAGTTGGGGTCGCTGGCATGACATTGACCCTGGCATTGATCTGAAGAGCAGAGCAACATACGCCGCAACATTGGTGTGTAAGCAGTTGTGACTAGAGGGCGGAGGGTCGACCTTGAAGCGACCTCAACCAAGGTCGCAGACGTCGACGTCACTCCTCTACTGCCCCACGCGTCTCTTTATATTAACGATTTATTTCTTTTCTCTATTCTTTTTTCCCACTATTACAACGAGCAAATCTACTACTACTAAACTACTCTTTCTGCATGATTTCTCCGTCCTTATCTAAATTTACACTTCCTTTTTTTCATCTAGTTTACGTTTGATTACACACTGACGTACTATCAGCGTAATACAAAAATGCAAATTACACGAGAGATTGAGAACGAAGTTTTCAGTTCTGGGTTAAGTTCAATTATGTATGCAAAATTAAATATGAAGGAAAATTATTTATTCTAATTATGTATATCGCTACGTTTAATCAAGCTTGGTATTTACATTTAATATGTATCTTGATGTACTTTTGATTTATTATTATTTAAATATGATTTGTCATGTTTATGAGTTTCATTTATTTTTTAAGATTTCATTAATCATTATAAATTTTTCAATTTATTGCATTACTTTATGTTATAATTATTTAATAAAACTATTTAATATTGTTTATAGGTAAATTTTTTTTAATATTATTCTTTTTTTGCTATTAATATTCAAATACTTCTATAGATGAAATTCTTGTTTTAATAAAAAATAGAAAAAAATACACGGTAAATTATTCTGAGAAATTTCTGCGAATTTTCTAAATTAAAATTATGAATAGACTTCAGCAGAGACTTGCTCATTCACACGTTTTGAAATATTCTGGAATGATATTAAGGGGAGTCAAGTAATTTGGGTAAGTACTTAAATCGGACTACTGTAGGTGTACTTTACACTTTGGATATTAGAAAAGTTGGTTAAACTCTTATATAGTATTGCATTGTAATACATAAAGTAAATAAAATTGAAGAGAAATATACTGTAAAAAAAAAACTAGAACGAGGATTAAAATTAACAAGGATAAATATTAACATTCAATTTATAACTAAAGATTTTATTCTTTTCAATCTAAGAATCTTAGGTATTGAATGGTTGTCTGTATTTGGTCATCATTACTGGAGGTTTATAATTATTTCTATTATGCCTTTTGAAACACGGAAGCCCTTTCATAAATTGGTCGTTAATATTTGCCTCGGTGTTAATTTTAGCTCGGGTCGTACATAATGGGCAGAACTTCCATTCACAACAAATTGTCTGAATTATACAATTTTTCTTTGACCTTCTTCTCGTGGTAAAATATTAATTAAAAATTTTTCTTTGAAAAAATGCATTTAATGAATTGTAGAATTTTTCAACAATCATTTATCTTATTAAACCACAATACATCAAAAAATTTTTTAAAATACATTTTCTTTATAAAAAATTTAATTAAACATTTTGAAAATTAGATAAAAAATTATAAATAAAACTTTAAAACCGATTTAAAATCATCTGAATCCTTTTTCAAAAAATGAAAAATTACTTTAAAGATACTTTAGAATAAACTTTTTGGAAAAATGGCTTTTCTGCTTCAACTTCTCAACGAAAACCATATTTCTTTAATCCCCCATGGCTCTTTTATACTTTTGTATATTTTAAAGGAATCGTTTTTTTTTAATTGGAGCATGCATAGAAGTAATAAATTTATTTATTTATAACAATATTGATATAATTAACATAAATAAAAATTATTTTTAAGCTTCAATATCAATTTAACTCCTTATTTCAATTAGATAATTTAAATGGAGATTGTCTTGACAACAATATTGTTATTTCATTTCAGTTTACCATCAAAACACTAAGAAAATAGTATTTACAATCTTATTAGATTTGAAACTTTGCCAAATATAAACAAAACATGATAATAAGAATTTACGTAATAACAATATGATGACTGTTTTAAAACTTAGATATTTAATCCTCAAGTCATATTTCTTGAGATATCGTTACACGTACACTTACTGTTTAGTTATAAGATGATCATTCACGTAAACATTGTGAAACTTGCTAGCTTTTGAAGATATCAAAAAAGGGGATCGTAATATAGAAAAGGAAAATTCCCATTTTCGTTGGAATCCATTTATTATCAGAATGAAAAATCTAACAAAGGGCTTTTACAAAAGTGTGTTAAATTGTCAGAAGTGGAATTGAACGAACGCTCGTAAAAAAAATGGACTAAGATCTGAATGTAACGTACGCTTGGATTTTATTATAACCGTTCAACTTTTCTGATAAATTTCACCATCTTTCCTAGAATTATTTAACAAATAAATGCATGTATTTACTTATTTTATTAATATGGATAGTATCTTTTAAGGGTCATCAATACCTGCCAGATGAAAAAAAGGTGGCATAGAAGAAAGGTCATGTGAAATTTTTCTTCAAAGCATTTCAAATCCTGCGGTAGACCGACTGAATAAGTTATAAATATTTTTGACTTTCCGCAATTTCCAGAAAAATAGGGGCGAGTGGTTATTATTGTGATGGGTGTGAAAATTTAACGGTAAGTTTTTGTCAGGTATTTTTTTTTTACTTCGAATCATTCAGGTAGTTTTCTCAAGAATATTTACATGTGTGACTTCCACTACACACATCGACGTGAGTACCAATGTATTTTTTGATATCGTGAGAATAATTTGACAGATTTTGTTCACACTTTACTTCAATTGAATGAATTGAAAAACTTTCATTAGTTACAAAGCATTATTAATCAATATCCTAGAGTGTTTGGGTTTTTTTACTGAAAAAAAAATTGTTAATTTTAAATATATTTTTTTGTATATATGAATAAATTTATGTAGATAATAAATTCAATTGAATTATTTCTTAAACTTACGTACAACTAAGTCGATAAAACGTGTCAAAAGTTATTTTTCTTCAAATCTGTCTAATTATTTTTGATTTACACTCTTCCAAAATTCTTGTGGCATAAATTTTATCATAAATATTTGTAAGAAAATATTTCTCGAGGTTTCTTTTAAATTCAGTTCAACTTTTTATTCTTCCATTCGTTTCATCTTTTAATCTAAACAAATAAAATCGATGTATAATTAATTAAATTTTCATTATCTTATCATCTGACGGCTATGATAGAAGAATTAAAAATAGAGATTAGAATTAACTGTCTATTTAACTGAAAGACAAAAAAAGATGTGTCAAAATTGATAAGGTTTTATGAAAGTTACTTTAGCGACAAGTTTAGAATATTCTTCAAGTTATGAATTATTGTGCAAGGGAAAAAATAATTATGATATATCTAAAGCAATAATTAACATGTCCCAGTATGAAATATTAAACATTAATTGATTATATGTTTGATTATTATTCATTTCTGTGAAATAAGTATGAGGAAAATGTACTATATCAAATAATAAAATCTACAGTCACCATTTATCTTTGTGTTTATCATCATTTTCATGCATAAAATGTTCTGATATTTTATCGAAAGCGTGTATACTTATAGTAATATTTTTCGGCTTAGAATTTATCTGAATGAAAATCTTGATGGGCTCTTTCGAATATAAGCGACCAAATTTTCTCATATCCATCAGTGAATAACTTACTGATATATTCTAGTTATATCAACAGTATTATCAATTCGAAACATCATCATGTTCAAAGATGCATTTTGATGGCCTTATATGGCACAAAGTTAAAACTATGGTCAAAAACTTTTAGATGCCTTTGATTTTTATCTATTCAAGCATTTTTATTCATGATTGCAATATATTAAACTTATGAAAAAATTTAATTTGTAGAGTAAATTATTGTCAATAATTATTCATAATTATCAGATAAAATGGAAACCATAATGTATAAATAAATAAAACATTTTATCATAAATTGAAATATTATTATTCTTTTGACCAACAGACACTTTAACACTTTAAAATATTGATGTATTTTTAGGTATACTTAAGTTGCTGATTCCAAAAATCGTATTAAGTATTTTCGATCTGTTTCTATAAAATCGCAGTTTGTTTTTATTAAATCATCTGTTCATTTATAATGGAATAAAAAACTATTTTTAATCATACGATTTGGCGTATGCTGAATTAAGTTAACAAACGTTTGTAAAAAATTGATTTTATTAAAATAAATGAGAATATAAACTAATAAACTATAGAAATAGATAAATATTGTTTTAATTAAATAGTATTTTTTGTTAATATAAAAGATTAATGACATCTAACCTTTTCATTCTCCAATAAAAATTCTTCTCTCTCAATCTATTGACTCCATATTTGAGCTTATCATTAATATTTAAAAATCCTCTTACAAAAATTTCATCAATTATTAGATAAAATAATTTTATCTCTTAGTCATAAATAATGCATCGATGTATATTTATTATTAATTAAACAAATAGACATAAATGATAATTTTTAAAAATATCTTATTATAAAGTGTGCAATGTTTTATAATAATATATTATCATTATCATTATTATAATATTGAATAGCTTTTAGTTTTTATCTAAAATAAAATTTATAATGGATTACAATTTAGATATAATATGATTATAATACTCGCTCACTTTCTTAGCAGCATTTTTTAGCATCCATAAATTGCTAACTCGGTTTTTATTCTTCTCGTATTCGCTATATGCATGTATGTGCAAGCATGTTGGAATGAGAACCGGAATACAACACGTCTTTACTCTTTAGTATAAAGTATCCTAAACAGGTTTCACATAATTTTCATCCCTTTTTCTTTGTAAAAAAAATGAAGAAATAAATAAAACGAGTTTACATGTGATGAGCAAGCGTTAATTTCGTGTGTCAGTTCATATTTATCTTTCTTCTTGCTGAACTAAATTTATCTATAATTTTTCATCATGAAGTCTTATAGCAAACAGCTTTATTGTTTGTTGCTTCCACTTGTCTTGTACCCAATCAGCTCAATTCTTTTCTTCTTTTTCTTTAAAATATCTTTTTCGTTACTCTTTTTTCTTCAATTGTATCCCTCGATAAATCTCATGTTTCGTCGTAATCTATCATCATAGTATAACGATAAATCATTATATAATATATTTTTTATAGATTATTCATCATAAAAATTTATTCATCTAGCATTCAGCCGTATTTATGAAAATCAAAAGTGATTTGTTAAAGTCAATGCCAATAAATCAGGCTTAATTGATTGTAAATATGTGCATTATATGATAAATTATATCCAAAGTAGTAATTAAGTAGGCTTCATTAAAAGCCCCAATTTGATACACAAAATATTTTCAATTATCTGTATATGAAAAAAGTAAATTTTAATATAGATTTATAGTGATGTGGGAGGGGTCAGGAGCAAGAGGAAAGAGAGATTTAGTGTCCTCAGCTCTCGGACGGTTCAACCTTGAGACGCAGCGATGCTCAATGCAGCAGTGTGATATTACAATGGGTGAATTCATTGCTACGTTACTATGTACAAATGCATAGTTACATCTCACCGGAAACTGCAATCTTTCGCTTTCCGCATCAAGTGACGTGTTTAATCATAAAAAATTTTTTTATTAACTGCTGCAATGACAATTTTCGTGTTGAAAGGCTTTTCCTCATGACACTTACCACATCATCCTAGTAACCAGTAATATCTCGAGTTCATGTCATACCTGATAGAGCATTCAGCACAATCATTTCAATATTTTTACGAGTTTCAATATTATATTCTTGAAAAGTTTATAACCCGAAGTACGCGATTAGCAAGGGCAAAATTAAAAATAGCACGACTTCTGATGGTGCATCGTTTGTGCGTTCAATATCCAATGGCATTGGTCCAACATTCATTATATCCACAACATCGATTCTTTTTGTTTGCTTTTTAGAGTTTCTCGATAAATAATTGAACGTTGTTTCAATAATATACACTGATAGATACACTTTAATGAAAATTATGGGTGTATTAAAAAAAATTTTTCGTTCAATAAATAACGGGTACATATGCAAAATTCATCTTGAAACATCTATTAATTGTTTATAAGAATTTATGATTTGTATATGCAACGAAAGAAAAAGTGCTTGATGTTGAACTTTATTTTATTGCATACAATTATACATGCAAGCAGATCGCATACGTGTGTCCGTTCGATTACCCGCTGACCCAGAACACTTTTACAGTATAACCTTCCGGGACCGGTTCTCGGTTTGCAGCATGTTTGGATAATCGTCTGTTAATATGCCATAAACATTCGTATACTTCAAATAATTTTTCATCATTTCATATCTTCACCATCTACCTTAATTACAAATAAGCTAATTAATTGATGTATGTTATGAGCAGATGTGCTAGTCTTTGATGTCTTATGGGAGTTTTTTTTGTTCCAATACATTGCACATGGATGAAACATTTATTGACATTAATGTTTTATTTATATTAATGCTTAAAAAATGAAAGATGACAATATTAATTGGATGATTTAAATATCACTGATAAAATTTATAGAAACATAATAATTTAATTAAAAAGTTATAAATTTTGCAGTTAAATCAGATACCCACGTTGTTAAAGTCAGAGTAGATAATCACTGAACTGGGAGATTCAACCTTGAATTTCAGTGCAGCGATGGCTATGTTGTCGAATTGCATTTTTGTTTTTTCTGGCCAAGCCTCACCAGTATCTTGTTATCTTTTCTTGTTCATCTTACTCTTTCATACTTCACTGTTGCTTTTTAATCTTCTTTATCCTTTGACTACACACTCGAAAAAAGACTGCATAATGTTTGCAAATATATATCTGAAATAATTGAGAAATTTAATTAATACACCTTTCACTGTCTGTAAAAAATTTTATATTGCATATTCATAAGAAAAAATGTATGAATATTTATAGTATAAATAAAAATTTTCCCACCACAAATCTTAAATATCCAACATTATCTATGATGAGCAGCATAAAAAGGAGCATCAAGATGTTAATCAATCACACATTCATTTTTTAATGATAAATTCATTTAAAATTTTTGACCTACAGTAACTATATATTAGTTACATATCTTTCATCATTTTACATGATAAGAGTAATTTTTTTAAGAAAAGTTTGCAAAAGTTGGTGTTTCCTCAATGATGAGTAACTATGATAGAACATGATGAGGAAAATAACCTCTAAATATGAATTATTCTTAATCTCTAGAATCGTAAATATATACAATAACGAACCAACACATCTTTTTAGAGTATATAAAATGATTGACAATGCAACGTCAAGTATTTTTAATTGTCATAAAAAATACTTTTAGACGTCTGAAGATTCAATACAAGTAAGATACTAAAAAATAACTATAGTTAAATGTGTACAATAGAAGAATAGTCGTGTGAACAATCACCCACAAGCTGCTGACATCACGGCGATGCAGTTGATATTTGTTTTGCATTATGTATATATGCATGCACAATAGCCGTAGCGATAGTGCTGCCACTAGTGAGATGTTGCGGTGAAAAAATGAAACATTACGCCGGCAGCGCAACGACGAATCGACTGCCGCAGTCGCGCGCTTGCACTCTCAGTGGTTAGCGGAGGCTGAGTGTACGTATCCTAAATTTTTTCGTATACGAATATGTATTTACTGGCATAAAAATTCGTTAATTGTTACTAAAAGTAATCCACCGAAAGTCTGAAGCGTACAAACGTGGTGTTATTGAAATAATTGTATATTGACGTACGAAAATAAGCGGCTGTTTACTACGAATGGGGCCGATACATTTATCCATCGAAAGGAAAGTGGGGGGAAAATGAGATCTCATATCACTGTGTGAGAATGTCGATGCTTCAGTGTATTTATCGCGTCGACGCACGTTACTGACTCGCACCACGTTCATCAATCCATTGATTATTGTTGTCTTTATCATGTGTGTGTTTTATCGAAAATAGCGAGAAAATTTAACATAAACGCGAGACTCTAAAGTACAAGAACTGAGTGTCATGCACGTGTATATTGTGTGTATTCAGTGTTTAAGCTCAATCGATTTAATAGAGCATAAATTAATAAGTGAACAGCAATATTGATATTAACCATCATCATCATCATCATCGGTGATATTATACACCGGCACACATATTGTTGATATTATTATTATTATGTAAGTATTTACAACAATTATATCTTTGTTTTTGAGCATCTAGGCGGGTGCGAGGATGCGCATTGCGTTCGCGTTGATGGAAATAAGCCGTTGGGGGTGAGTAGAGCGGGAAGACATCTTGATATCGCCAGAGCGCTCTTGTTTATGTTTTGAAACGTGGCCTGAGTGGGGGAGGGGACACAATGTGGCAAAAGATTAGTTGTTTCATGGTACTGTAATAATGGGCACGAGCCAATTGAATCTATGTGATAACAAGATCATAACGTCGTTGTTTTATTGACCGATGTTTTATTTTCATGCTCCAATGTCTCGTGAGACTAGACAATAAAAGTTTATCAAAATGTCTGTTGTTTAAAATACTTTTTTTGGAAATTACTTTCGTAAGACTCTGGATCCAATTGATTTTACAACAAATATGGGTATTAAAGTAATACCTTTCCAGCAATTTTATGAGTAATTATTTTGTCTATTATCTTTTGAAAAAAAATAAAACTTTATTGCATGAAAGTTGAAATTGGAGTTAGTGTGAGGTTAGGAAAGAAATTTAGAATGCTATTATTATGCATACTCTACATAAAATTGTCGTCTTTGATGTTCAATTATCTCATTAGAATTCATAGAATTTCGGTAGTGTTCATGAATGGCAATTTTTTTTTTTTAAATAAGAATGAATTTAGAATCACCATTTATTTTAATGAAATCTCGGATCATTTAAATAATTTTTATTTTCTTTTCAATAATATAATTATATCAATTTAACTTTCACAGATAGACTTATTAGCTACGAATAATTATTTGAATATTTCTATTATTGTTCTTTTTATTTTAATATGAAGTAAAATTTAATTATTTCGAGGTTATATTTTATTATTCAAGGAAAAATAGTTGAATGGGAATAACTTGAATGCAAATAATTTTTCAATGAGTTAAAAACATTTATTTGTTGTCGGTTTTTAATGCAATAAAGAGAATCTCCTTAAGTGTTGCTTTTTACACTGTCGTACTATTGTTGCATTTTAAATAGCCGTAAAGTTGTTAATAGAGCAATAGTAAGAGTGAAGACGTATTGTTACTTGAAATAATAAGTACAGACACGAGAGACATGTTATTCGGATCGTTGCCTCGACTTTAGTTAGTTAAATGCAATCTTAATATGTAATTATTAGTATACATGTGCGTAATGTTTTATTACAAATATTGTACAAGTTATGAAATATGTAATTAATATTTGAATTCTATTGTAGTAATCACTATTCATTCACATGTCATTCTTTATTTTTTTTTAATACAATGTTATGATAATAGGAAAATGGTGTTTTATTGTTGTGTAGTGGGTTTTTTACCTTCACATTTTTTTATTCTTCAACACCTGTCTCTCACCTCTAATATAGCCTTGTAATACTGATATGGTTTACAAAGCACGAGTGTAGGTTGCTTGAAATCCTGATATTTTAGGTCTGAGGGATTAAAAATTTTTATCGACATTTTCCAAGATGTTAATAAAAAAAGAAGTCTTTACCGTACCATCAACCCTCTGAAGAGGGATATTTTAGATTTCGCTATTCGAGTTCGAGTTGGAAAGGTCGATTACAGAATAAAAATAGCATGGCTGTATACAAACATGCAGTTGTATAAGTGTAAAGATTGTCGGAGATTATACGTGAGGTTACATGTTGTATTGACTATAGTATTTATCGGAAAATATTGCGATAAAAAATAGAACTGTGATGCATTTATGGTTGAGACGATGACCTTTGTAACACGATTTCTTCCAATATTATCGTAATTATAAATAAAATAAAATATGTCATTTGTATTATTAATTTACACTTAGTTTGATTTTTATAATAAACTTGGTTTCTTCCATTGTGTAATGAAATTGAAAAAAAAAAAAAAAAAGGTTTTTAATAGATCATTTTTATTTAAAACTCTTTTTCTCATTAATGACGTATTTTTCCATCGTTTATTTTTGTTTGATATTGAAGTATTAAAATAAAAATTAATTTTCGCACAAAGTATTGTTTTGCTTTGAACGTCATATTTTTTAAATAAATTTTCAGAAGTTTTGGGAAATAAACTCATTTATTTAAAGCACAAAATAACTAAAATAATGTTTTTCTCTTGTCAAATTAATTAATTTTTTTTTTTCAAATGAAGAATTTTTAATTAAATTCTATCCCCGAATTCATCATCACAAGTAGTAATAGAATTTTTTTACCATATGTTTTGTCAGAGGTAAATGAATTCAACATATACACATTAACAGTATTCCAGGTATCTCAATGTTATCATGATATTGAAAAGATATCCAACATGAAACCCGTCAAAACACTTGTTTAATTTCGTTAAAAGCGTTTCCATATATAAAAAAAATGTTTTTTTTTAAACAACTTAATATCATTTAATATTTTTTTTTTCTGAAAATAAAAAAGAATTCCTTGGCAGGCCATACAAACGGCGGACAAGGCTAAAATAATTGAGAAGTCTCTTGTAAGTTGGGTAGCGGTCAGAGTACTCAGAAAATTTGGGTTGTAACTATTTTTCGCTCATGATGCAACTATGGTACGATGCACCTCTACTATTCCATATGCGACGACATATGTTTTCCGGTGGGTTAGTAGAAGTCACTTAGCACTATAGTGCTCAACGTCTACTACGTTTAAAAAAATATTTAGGTCAACTCAATTTATACTTTGACTTTTTCTTATGATCATTATATTAGACGTTTTATCGCTCTCAATTTTGTACATTAATTGTATCAATCAACAACTAAATGATTTCATTGATTCTAAAATAAACTAAAGATATAAATGTGTGGTTTATCGTCATTCGGAAGTTTAATTATTTTTCTTCTTATTAATAAATATTTTATTTAATTAATTAAAAAAAAAAGAAAGTAATCAATAACTATTAACACCTTTGTTAATTAATTCATTAATTGTTATCTTTAATGTCACCATATTCATTGGTGTATAAATTAATTATATAAATCGATAGTGTATTTTTATCATTAATAATATCAACAAATGTATTAAAATTTAATTAATTTCGTCCAAACAAATGCAAATATTAGTATCATTGCATTAATGAATAATGAAAAAAAAAAGTAGATAAGGTTATTGTTGTACAGACATTAACTATCAAGTAACATACTTTTAAATGAATGATATTCTTTTCATTTACTATCTCAAACTGTTTACGTTGTTTGCAATGGGACGGATATATATTATACGAGGTGTGCACACTCCTGCGCACAAGTCCCACATTCTTCGCCTGCATTCACGAGGTCACTGGCGATAAAGGTCAATAACTATTTGTCCGGCAGACTGCATGTGTATGATTATATTTACGTACTTGACTATTTAACGTCTATTAATATACTATAAAAAAAATCATCTATAGTAAAGAATAAAAATAATCCATTAATAATTTTTATATTTTTAATTTTTTATCTATAGATGAATTTTTTTTTTTACCCTTTTAAAATGACGTTGATTAATTAAATGTGAACGGTGAGACAAGAAAATGCAATCTAGAAAATGCAAAATGCATTTAGAAGATGTGTGATCGAAAAAAAAAATGGAGGATCATCGTCTTGGATTGATGACAGTAGATTAGATATGTGGTACCCGATGCATGGTGTGTCGAGTAGTCTGGGAAGCGATACATATTATAAAAGAAAACGAGAGGGAGAGAATAAACTTGCACGCATGACGTCACTTAGTGTGTATCATTTTTAGCCTACATACATACGTATATGCCTGCCTATATACCCAGTGCCAAGAGTCAGCGCGGCGCGTTGCAGTCAACTTGAATGTCGGGAGAATGACAGAGAAGTAAAAGGGGTTATGCGGTAGAGAAGATAATGTTTGTTAGATGAGTAGTACATTGAAGCGTCGATGTGTCGTGACGACAACTGCCGGTTGGTTTTGTTGTTAGCTGCATATCGTGCTTTCCCCTTAAGTACTAACCGTGCAAACCAACGTTGTCCATCCATTAGCGTAGCCACAATCCAAGAGTGGGAAAAAGAGAACTTGATTCGCATGAGAAGAGGCTATTCAAGTATACACATTCATATGTATATATATTTTTATATAAATGTATTCGTGTAGAGTTTGTGTGTTAGAGGGAAAAAAGAAAGAAGACTGGCAAAATGAGACACTAATATTTTGGTTGACCGAGGATATGCGCATGATGGACTAGAAAAAAGTTCTTGGAATATCACGCAAATATTTTAGGACTACTATTCTGTTTATTTATCAAGCACGTTTTAGAGACTGTGAATTAGAGTGTGTTGATGAAAGCTTTGACAAATGTAGTACTCGTAGACATTTAACTTATTATTCTTAGAATTTTTAATAAATAAATAAAATAATAATGAATATTTAGTGTATTATATTTAGAACATATCTTCGGGTTATTGGATTGTTTTTGTACATGCAAACGACCTGACTGTTGGCTAAGGCCAGGCGTGCATAAAAACGATTTTTTAGTCATGTGATCATACATATAGTCGCAGTCGGTCAAAGTAAACGATTTCACATCGCCCAAACAGTTTAGTTAAGCAGCCAGGCGATCACTATCAATTTTAAATCACTTCATTATGCGACAAGTATATTATTTTAACAAAGCTTTATCGGTTATGTATCTTCAGCCACATGGTTTTTTGTGTGTTAAAAATATGAATGAGAGACACGAGTATATCGTCTGTTTAGTCCTGTCGAATTAACGTGTACATACTAGTATGTAATAATAATCGAGACTGTAGACATTTTGATGGTACGATAAAAGTATTTTTTATTTTTTTTTTGTAAAGCCAGTCGGGCAGCTCAACGACTGTTTTATCGAGGTGAAATCGAATCGGTAGAGGTATGCATTTCTATATATATATTATGCTATACCTGCTCTAACGACTAAATACTTGGATGGCTTAAGATTTGCGCGTGTGTTGGAGCTCTACAAGGACAAAAATTCTCACGTCATCAGTTAAGCCGAAAGAGAAATATAAATATACGTATATGTGACTGACTTTCCACGTATGAATGACCTATTATCGTTCGTGTAATTATACTACTTTTATTCATCAAATATTTATGACGTATTCAAGATAATTTCATCGCCATAAGTTATTGGACTTTTCCACGAACTCGTTTCATATTTTTATCGTTTTAGTTTTTATTTGCTATGTTCGATTTAAAAGGTTTGAAGTTGAAGTTTTTCTGAGGATTTAAGAAGTTTTTGATCGACGTTGAGAATAAGAAACGTGTAAATTTTTTTTGAGCAGCTTAGTTTTGTATAGATGTTAAAGAGTTGAGTGTTTAATGGAGTGTTACTTATATGTTTCAAAAGGACTGTTTGATGTAGTTGGAAGGATTTTGCAATACTTCAATATTGATGTATTTCATGGATCAAATCGTGTGGACAAGTTTAAAGAAAAAAAAAATACACACTTGAAATAGAAATCTAAGAATTAAGTGATTTTAACATGCAACTTTGGCTCTTTTACTTACAATATATTTACATTCGTTGGTAAAAAAAAGTAGGACATGCATAAAATTTACGTGTTTTCGAAATTTTTTTAGATGTTGAACTGTCAGATAAAACAACTTTGGATCGATTTGAATTTTCATGCATAAAAAAGTAGACTTCAATATATTTATTCTAAAAAAATTACAATTTATTTTAAATGTACATATTTTTTGTTATAATAATGTTAGATACCTCATCTTTTTATATAAATAAGTTTTAAATAATACTTTATATATTTATAAATAATAATAGTTATTGAAAAATTTTCTTACAATATTTTAAAATAATTGAAATATATTTAATGCAAAGTTTATGAGCTTATTTTTATTATTCATAAATTTCGAGTTTGATTCATGAAATGATTAAACCATCTATTTCATCAATTCTTAGAAATGAGTATGAATTCTGGGAAATCAACTGGTCACTCATCAGATTTTGCAATGTATTATTAGAATGATGAGCTTTTTATTACAAATAATTTTACTTTAATAAAATATAATATTTTAAAATGTATTCCAGTGAATTTCATGTCTCAATTTTTATTTTCTTTTGAAAAAGACTTTTAGAGTAATTTATATTTGTTATTAAGAGGAAAAAATAGTAATGTATGAATGAGGTGAATGTAAAATTGATGATAAAGACCTCTTATATAATGAGAATTAAAGTTTAAGTATGATGAAAATATTTTAAATAATTATATTTACTCGTTCACTTATCAGATTGGCTAATATTACCACTATCGGGATTTCATAACTTCGAGGTGTGCACATTTCGATTTTAAATCGACAATATTTAAATAAACTGTAATATAATAAAAAAGGATAATGATAATGAAGCTATTTGTGTATTATTACAATCGTAATGAGCAAAAAAATCGAACATAATGTAATTTTAATTGATAACTTATTCATCAATTCTATATTTATATGCATTTATTTGAATAAATTTCAATTCAATCAATTTTCTTCAAGCTAAAATTATGTTCTTAATCGATATTTTCACTTAAAAATGAAGTTTGTCAATTCAATTACTTAAGTTCCATCAAAATTTTATTTTTCTAAAATTGTTTTCTAAGGGTAATAAATAAATTCAATGAATTTATTATTGTTTAATTCGTAATGATACAAAGAAAATTTTTTGTTTTTACTTCCAGTCACAGTTAATTCGATAAAAAAATGATTAATTTGAGTTAATTAACTCCAAAGGGAAATTCGTTACGCTTGTCGAGTAAATACGTTGTTGTTACCAATAGCTTTTTCTATTTAATTGTACATAAAGAATTCTTTTTTCGTATTAAATCATCACGTTATTATTTTTGAAACACAAAAATCATTTAGGCTTTCCTTGGGTGGTCAATTACTTATTAAATTCAACTATCATTTATCGAATGATATTACTCACTTGGTCGTATTGTTTACCACTTGAAAAGCACTCATCTTCAAGAATTTGAGGGTCAATGATATGGTCCTTTTAAATTAATTGTTAATAACGTTTAAATAATACAGCTATGTCGTAATTACAAATAACAAAAAATCGATAAAAAAATCGAAAATATAGTTATTTAAAAAAAAAAAAAGTATAAATAATATACAATAGATTAAACCTTAAACGTTCCATGATAATTGATGTGATTAATTTCTTGCCATGGAAAATTAGTTAAGTATTTACTATTAAAGAAAAACAATAGAATGACTTAACATTACATTGATTGTTTTAATTTATTAAGAACTAAACTAGTTATTATGATTGTTTATTGCTTCTAGTATCGGTTGTGAGACTTTATTTATTGTGGGAAACTGTTTTTACATGTTATTACGCATATTTCCACATCATATGTATGGTATATAAAAAATTACATTTTATTTGCATACAGCTATCGATCGTGTATAATGACTTTCCCCGATGAATTCTCTTTCTCTGTTCACGTCCTACTCAACCTACCTTCTTTGCAGATATGTGGCATATCAGCGTGCAATAATATAGGCATTTTAATTATCTTATTGGTGTACAAACCAATAATTTTCGATAAAAAAACGGGGTTTACATAAACCTTCAGTAGTTTGTAATATTTTTTTGCGATGAAAAATTGCATGTTTATGGTTATTGCAATTAAGAAAATGATTTTTATCTTGATGAAAATAATTCTTCGTTATTATTAAAAAATTCATTGATATTAAAAAATATTCTCTGAAATGAATTTAGATTAAATAAAATATAATTACAATAATTTTTGCTAGTTAAATAGTAATTTAATTCTATTGTAATGTGTTCTTCTTTGCTAGATAAATATTAAATTTAATTAATATGCATAAACGTTAATTAAAATTATTTTGTTTCGTTTCATTATATCGAAAAAATTATTTATTTAGTAATAAAAAAATTAATTTCAGTACTTTTGTATTTACAGATGGTGCAAATTGGATATTCATCGAAAGAAGAATACGAAATAAAGATTCAAAATGTGGCTCAGTGGAGAAATAGAAGGCGGTGATGAAAATTTCTGACCTCGCGTTTCTAAAATTCCAAAACAGCGCGGGAGTGTTATGGTTTATTGAAAAATCAATGAGTAATAAAATAAATATTAAAAGAAATATTTTCAACAAGCAAAAGACCATTGGAATCGTGATGAAAATATTGCAGCCATTTAATATATACGTATATACATAATTATTATATGCATATATATACCTTCTACCTTGAGATAAAATACCTCGTACCTACAAGTACCTTCAAACATCATCTACCTTTCACAGCGCAATAGTGCCTGGGTCACTGAGTTCATAATACTAATATAATAATAATAATAATTCGATTACTATTATTATTATATTATCATAATACAATTATTAATAATAATGAAGAAAGAAAGAGCACGAAAACTGAAACATTTTAATGGAACTGATATTAATTAATTGTTAATGAAAAAATAAAACAAAATAGTCATAGAAGAAGAAGAAGAAGACGCACAGATACATTATTGAAGAAAATAATATTTAAAAACTGTTATCTTTGAATCACTTAATTGAAACCAGGACAGCCAAGTACCTGCATACAAATTTATTTATAACAATTTTAAACAATACTTAAAACAGTCAAGCTATATTTAAAAAAAAAAACGTTATTATTATCATTCAATAATAATAATAGTAATATGAATAATATTAAAATTGAAAAGTCATAATTTAAACATAATTACACAAGTATTGTCAAAAGTTATTACTTAACTTTTAAAAAGTTTTGGAAACAAAATCGTGAGACTCATTTATATTATCTAGTGACTAGTGCTCTCATTTCTTTACTATGTGGATATCTCGTTTTGCAAATGACCGAGGTGAGTACAATAAATATTATTTATTCTTTTTTACTCACCTCATATATTTCTTTTTTCTTTAAAAAATAAGTTTATTCTTATAATTTTTTAAAATAATCCACTATTTGTATTTCAAACAAAGTCAATTGATTAAGTTTTTTTTTTTAATTTTAAAATAAGAAATTATAAAATTATTTGAATTATTTTATATTGAGAATTACTTTTCTCGAATAGAATTTTTCAATTAATAGCTCCTAATTTTTTTCATTTAACTTTCTATTCTTTGTTATGTAAAGTAAATTATTCCCATCATAAAGTCTCGCTTTAATAAGTATATAATTTCCAAGTATTTATATTTGTTTATTGTTTTATCAAACTCAGGATTATTTGTTGAGACGTCTGCTTTGGTAATGAAATAGTTATTATTGTATGGTAATGCCATAGAAATAATTGTTCTCATCTTCTTTAATATAAAGTTTTTCAACAGATATACACAGTTATTAGTAACTTCTAACATCTCTGGATAATTAAATATAGTTTGCTATTAGTTTTCATTATAGAACAGACAGCTAACATTTATTGTTAACTACCTGGAAAAAATTTTGTGTCATTATCAATAGAGAAAAAATTATCAGTTTAACGACATTATTCATGCTTGACATATAGAGGTTAAATATGAGAATGAATGGCATAAATAAACGCAAACTTTTCTATTAATATATCGACAATATGTTCTGACAATATTGTTATCAACAAAATAATAACAGTATTTGTCCTAATTCCATACAGTTTCGAATATTTAGTATTATTGTTCAATATAAATGCTCATTGAAATATTACAGTATGTTGTTAGTTGCTCCAATATCTTTGTTTTCCTAAAAAAAAACACTGAGAATTTTATGATTCTATTTATTACATTAATGAAAAGAAAAATATATTTCTATTTTTGTTTATAAAAATTTTTAGCACTCAATATTAAAGTTGTTTGTTAAAAGAATTGAAAGATTGAACAGGTTGACAAATTGGAATATAGAAAACAATTGTCTTAAGCCTGTGATTCTTTTGAGAGAAGTAATATTTAAGGGCTGAAAATCAAGAAAGAAAGGATTATTGCTTAGTGACGTAAAGGATTTTTTTTATAGCAGAAAAACTGTGTCAAATTAGGTATCTAAGAAAATTGTAGGTTTAGGAAGGATGATTTTAAGGTAAAGTTGTTGTGTGCAATTTTATGACAGGATGCAGAGAAAAAGGTTTAAGAAATTTAGGAAGTTATCTAAATGTAATATAAAATATTTCCTCACAAAAATATTCACTAATTTTCTATAATCGTTCAAAACTTCAGTCGTCTTTTAATATTTTTCACTTTTTTTTGCTTTATCAATAATCACAAAAACTAATAAATCAATTGTCTATCTATTAAACAACAATAATAGAATTCATACAGTGGAATAAAACATATAAAATCCAATTGATTGCAATTAAAAAATGTCGTTCATTGGTCGGATATGAATTTATACGTATAGTATTGATCACCAAAAGCTTTCATATCCAACAATACTATTTCTAATATTTATTTGTGTTGCGTGATAAAGCTATGACAGTAGTAATTTGTAGCTGCTTTATATTACTATATACTAGACAGGTGTATATATTATTCTATTTGCAATATTCTTATTATCGGAATCGTAAACTGTAACAGGTTATCAGCTCAGAATTTGCGAGGTTTCTGCTTGAATCATAATAAGTGTCGTGAGACAAAGTATTGCATAAAACAGTGGACAAAGACAATAGCTCTTGTGAACGTAACGAATATTGAATAGTTCAACCAGTTGGAACTTACTTCTTATTTAAAAAAGATGCTTCTAAAGGAATTGATTTTGCAATACCTTTACAAAGCCTATGATGTGCGGAAGCACATGATTGAGCTTTGTAATGTGGTCGATAAACTCTCTTTTATGTCAATATACTTCAGGATGTGTTGAAATCAATGATAATTTATTATTGAGTTTTTAATCTTTTTTTTTACTCTATTCTAGTAAAATTACTAGGATTATTTTTTTTTTTTAGTAATACATGATGTATTTTTATATGAACTATGAGACAAATTTAATATTAAATTTGTGTAAGTTTACTCAATCCTTTTTTCACCTGGAGCATTGCGAAATTTTTTAGTGTAACATCAGAGACGTGAATACGAGAGGTAATTTTAAATATCCAGGATATTTTATTTATTTTTACGAATGGAAAAAAATTTAAATATACTTCATCATTGCATGTTGAATTTCTAAGGAAATGAAAATAATTTTATTCATTTGAATAAAATTTTATTTTGAAGGTCAAATATTGTGTGAATCTGTGGATAAATTGGTGAATCAGTGGTGAAAAAAAAAAGCTGAAAATTAGTTACAAAAAAAAATCTGATAGTATCTAGCAGCAGTTGATTAAAATGGCATGACTAGAGAGAAATGATTGGAGAATCATGGAATTGATCAAAGCGTTGAAGAGGTCGGTTAAAGTTAATGAATGAAACAAATAAATTGAGAATTGTAATGGGTGAAGTTGTAATAATCAAGTAGATTTTTGAATTGGAAAATAAAATGAAAGATTGGCAATATTTTCAAATGAATGATTTATTTCTAAATTATAAAATCAGTAAAAAAGTTAAAAAAAAAGTAATTTCTTTTCAATTTATCAGATTGATGTGATAGTATTTTATTCTATGTATTGACACATGGTATATTATTTTTTTAAATGAAATGAAATTGATTGATTGAATTTATCTATTTGTTCAAAACTAATCAGTCAATTTTTATTACACCGAACAAGAGTTGTTTTTGTACTAAATAATGAGTATCTTCAATTTTGTGATCAAACATGGAATATAATTTAATATAAAATTCTAATTAAAAGAATTCTAAAGTGCACTTACGTGTCATTTTATCAGCTCTGATCTAAAAATATATTGATGTCGTTAAAATAATTATATTATTTTTATAACTTTACTTCATTTGATTGAGTGTAATTTTTAAAATTATTATTTGCTTTAAAAATGTTTAATTAAAGGAGAACAATAATTTAATTTACATCAATAAATGAGGTAGTTATCGTTAAATATTACTTTAATAATTATATAAATCGTTTTAACGTTGAAGAAAATTAAAGTGAAATGACTTCTTAAAGTATAACGGCTTCTTAGAAGAAATTTAAAAAAAGTTCATAATTTTAGATACCTCAATTATATCTGATATATTAATTTATTTATCATTTAAGTTAATCAAATATTTCTTTGAAAAGGAATTATATTAGTCACATTTTAAATATTTAAAACGAAAATAAATTTACAAAATATATTTTATTTTGATTTTCCTTCAATAATTTACAAATATTCTTCATTTACCAATAAATAAAATAAATAGTAAATAATGTTTATGTAAAAAAAACATTGTATAAAGATTTTATATCTAAATAATTATAATAATTATGCTAAACAGGAAAACTGACATTGATGTGAAACGAAAAATTTATTTTATTATCATAATATAATCTTGGGAGAAAAATGATAATCACAATGATCTGAGAGTATACAAAAGATTTTTAAATATTCATTAGTATCACGAGAAACCAATCACTAATTCTAAGGATAAAAAAAAAGCAAACTGGCACAATAACGTTCAGATAATAAAAAATAACAAAAAATAATTCTTGATGATTTTCAAGAATGGAAACGAAAAAACGCAATCGATCACAAGTTGGTGGAATTAGTAGGTGTTGATTAAACTGAATTTAATTATCTGGTTTAGTTGGAGGTTCAGTAGGATGATCGTACAAGAATCAAAAAATGTCCTTGTGATGATTCGTGAGGTTGATGATGGATCACCGATTTTGTTGACCTTGAATGAGTTACTTTAGGTGAAGCAATCAAGTGATTATTATAAAGCATGAAATTACTCGCATCGTCTAGCTAGAACAATGCCTAGAAGGTCACTAGTAAACGAAGGAATAATAACATAAATTATTAAGAAGACTGATGTTGCAGGTTTATTAATTGAAAAAAAATTAAAATTATAAAGTAAATTTCATTTAATTTTATATCAAATTATCAAAACAATCTCTCAAGAATGCCATCATTAATACATTGTTTTCAAATTATTTATAATCACAAGGAAAAGTTAAAGAAGATTAATGGAATCATTAATTCACTAATTATTTATTAATTAAAAATAAGATTACATCGTTTGATTCTTTTCCTGGTCAAGTAAATGTGTTTTTTTCTTTATTTAACATTTTATTTGATTAAGAATAATTTGTCTTTGATAAAATCACTGGTTTTTGTTGTTTATGAATCGTTTTATAAACAAGGGAAGATTTCGTGTTGTAGAATGATTAGATATTACTACTTCAAAATGGCGGATTGTAAATTTTTTTATCAATTAGACAGACAGAGAGTGTTACCATCTCTTTGATCTTACGTTTTATCACGTGATTGCTTACTAAAATATCGTTTTTATATGCTATGACAATCATAAACTCTCTCTCTCTCTCTCTCTCGCTCAATTCACTTGATACATACACATTCGTAGCATGATTGTAATCCTACACCTCCTAATTTCGTTGCCAGCTTCTTATTTCATCGGAACTGCAAACTACCACAATATATTTATAGTTCGTCAACATCGAAAATACTTCTTAAGGATTCAACGTAGACAAAGTTTAGAAAAATTTTTATGTTCGTTCTTTTACTAACAGTTTGATACTTCTGAAGTTTTCAATTTATTACGTGATAATGTAGTTATTAAAGTCTCGAAAAAACGAACAAAATAAAATATTAACGAGTATATTATTGGATAGAACGGATAAGTAGATGAGTTCTTTTTTGTTCAGACACTCGATTTTCGATTTAATGTCGTACTAAAAAAAATTTATCGATTCTGAGGTAAAGAAATTTGAAAGAATTAAATTAAGACGTTTTTTATTTTTAATCTTATCCACTGGAATTTCCACTAAACTTCATTTCTGATTTA